GGATGAGTGCACTGCTGTAGCTCATTAGTAGTGTTGGCACCAAGATGCAACCCCTCATCTATTCCATTGCAAGTCTATATTTTCAATAATTACGTAACTGTATTTCCATACATACAGCCCTCTCCGCACCAAGGGACCCAGCCCCGGCAGCCGACCTCCATACCCAACCACCACCAAGCTCCAGGCCACTTTCCACACGCTCAGGCTGAGCCTCACATATGAATGAACATATTCCTGTTCACTCATGAGACACTCCCTACCCATTTTCCATAATTACCACACTATATTTGATGGGGTTCAGACAGGAGGTAGCAAATCATAGAGGGAAATATATATATGCCTCTCGGAGAGCCCGGCAAGCTACCGAGAGTATCCCGCTCGCACGGCAGAGCCTGGCAAGCTACCCATGGCGTATTCAGTATGCCAAAAAACAGTAACAATAATGGGTCTCATTCCCCTGACCCTGAAAGAGCCTCCAATTTGGCAGCGTTGGGAAACATGAGTAAGGAGAGCCTGCTAAAATCTCAGGGCTGGGATGAATGGAGACGTTACTGGTGTCCGCTTAAGTAAATTGATGAACAACGGGATGACACTCTAATGACAAATAGAGTCCTCTTAAAAGTTACCTCAAAGTAAAGGAGAGTACATTGGCAATGACATTTGAAAACATTCTTAAGCAGTCACTTAGCGCTTGATTAGCACGGTTTTCAAAACCTAATTGTGTGTTTGTGACTGGACAAGCTATTCATTCCCTTGGAAGATGAGTGAGTTACATATCATGCTACTACCTCAACTGAGAAATTTTAAGCATTCAGAGGTGACTTCCTAACAAATGTTCAATGTAAAATTGTCTGAATATAGACTTTCTGAGAGGTGGACAGAGAAAGTAAATTTTTTATGATGTTCTACTTTTAGACAGCTCAGAAATATGTCTGATAAAAATAAATCTGTGTATAATAATGAAATATCCTCCTAAGATTTCAGATTATAAGGTCGGAGCATAGTACAGTGGATAAGGTCCCCCAAAACAGTAACAATAACGGTCAACAATATTGCTTACCTTGCAAGCAGCCAACCCAGGTTCAATCATCAGCATCCCATATGGTCCCCCAAACCCACCAAGACTAATCCCTAAAGCTCAGAGCCAGTAATAAGCCTCGAGTACTGTCAGATAGGGGGCCCGGAACAACAGCAACACTGGAAAGATTTTAAATTATTAAGTCTCTCACAGCTTTATGTCTTGACAGACCCCAATGGCTAACTCTATATATATATATATATATATATATATATATATATATAATTTATTTATTTTCAAGAATGTAGGAATACTGCTATTTGTTCAGCCATTGATTAAGCTGAGTGAATTGGACATGAACTCCACAGTGGCCAACTCTTAATAAAGACACCCAATGGTAATGAAGGGTGGGATGTTGGAACATTGTATGTGTGAAACCCTACCATTAAGAATAATACTATAAATCATGGTTGTTTAAATTAAAAGGTGGGGAAAAAGACTGGCTAAACAATACAACATAAATAGGTTATTTGAACTACCTGATTATTTGCTCTTTAGGAAATAAGTCGTCTGAATCTTTCATAAGAAAAAACATGGATGGTGCCTGGTGACTGAGAACTTATCTGGATATCACAGGATAGAAGATATGTGGGTTTTGATCGAATATATTATGGATTTCTGAAGGGCCATGAAATGCCCACTTAACCTATGGACTTCCACATTGCCTGGTGCTCTGAGGTCTTAGGTTGTCCTTGCCATCCTGAGGTCTCTTCAGAAGTACAGAATACCTCCAAGAGTCTGAGAATCTGGCAGCATGGACCCACCCCAGCCTCTGTGTGTGTGTGTGTGTGTGTGTGTGTGTGTGTGTGTGTGTGTGTGTGTGTGTTACATGATTCTTCTCCCCAGAAAGAAAGCTTCTTTTTCCCCATTACGATACTGAATGAAATTGAAATCTTAGTTATATGAAGGGGCCAACTTCACTTGATTAGATGTTATAGAAAACCCATATAAGTAAGTGAAGAGGCTGTTTTCATTTGGTCACTGGGCAGTCTACCTTGAAGACACTGAAATAGTTATTTGTAAAACAAGTTTAATTTTGTTAAACAGGTTGCATTCCTCTTTAACAAACATTAAATTTAATGTGATTGCTTTGCTTCAGACTTGCCTCCACATTTTAATTGGTTCATGAAATGTCTGGTCTTAAAAAAAAAAGAAAAAAAGTGATTTTCATAAATTCTGGCATAGGGTGTGATTCTGTTAAAAAAAAAAGGAATGTCCTTTATTCTCCTCTTGAGTACTGCAAAGAGTTCTGATTAGTATGCTTGGCATGAACACTTTTAACAGTATTGTCACATGATTTCACCACTTTGTGCAAAAAAAGATTTTTTTCCCCACTCTCAAAATCAATAGATACATTCTTGGTAGTGCAATTTAGTTTTTTGACAGGTTTATTTTCAGTCTTTCAGAGAAATTCGTATAGGTGAGCAGTATTTCTCCATTTCCTCTCGACTGCATTTACTTCTAGCATGTGTAAGGCTGAGTTTGCTCTAAATTTTCAGTGTGTCTATGCTGCCCCTTTGAGGAAATGTGGCTCGGTACCCCATCACCAACTGAATGAGCTTCGCCCTAGTTGTCCCAGGGGCATGAATGCCTCATGAACTCCCTGAGGAAAGAGAGGCCATTCCTTCTATTTTGTGGTCTGCTTGTTCAGGCTTAGGCACTATTGTCAGCCCAGTGATGGAGTGTCTAAGCACATTATTGACTACTCAGATACTGAGTGGTGTTCTTAAAAGGGGTTTCCCATGTTGACTACAGAGATTGAAAGAAGTCCATGCATCAGGCAGTCTGTGCGGTGGATTGGAAGAATAAAAGACTTTGTATTGTTAAGGTGGTAGTACTCTTCAAAGTGAAAGACAAATTCAGTAAAATCCCCATCCAAATCTCAGCTGCCTTCTTGCAGAAATCAAGCTGTTTTAAACTTCCTATGAAAATGCAAAAGGACCCGAATCGCCAAAACCATCTTGAAAAAGAAGAACAAAGTTGGAAGACTCACACTTCCTGATTTCAAAACTTAACCACAAAGCAGTAATAATCAGAGAGTGGTACTGGCCTAAGGCTATACTTATCAATCAATGGAATAAAGTTGAGAATCCAGAAATAAACTATTATATTTTGGCCAGTTGACTTAAGGGCTGGAGCGATAGCATAGCGGTAGGGCATTTGCCTTGCATGCAGCCAACATGGCCGACCCAAGTTCGATTCCTCTGCCCCTCGATTCCTCTGCCCCTCTCGGAGAGCCCGGCAAGCTACCGAGAGTATCTCTCCCGCACAGCAGAGCCTGGCAAGCTACCCGTGATGTATTCGATATGCCAAGCACAGTAACAACAAAGTCTCCAATGGAGACGTTACTAGGCCCGCTCGAGCAAATTGATGAACAACAGGAGGACAGTGACAGTGACAGTGACTTGACTTATACCAAGTGTGCCAGGACGATCCAAAGAGGAAAGCTTAATCTTCAATAAATGGTGTTGGGACAACTCAATAGCCAGAGCAAAAGAATGAATTTGAATCCCCTACCTTTCCTGCCATAGTAAAAAAATTGAAATAAAAATTAACCCAAAATAAATCAAACTTCACTTAGGGTCTACTCATAAGTACTAAAACTAAGAACTCTACGATGAAATGACCTTGGATTAGGAAGCATTTTCATTTTTATGCTATCTAAAATTTAAAGCGAAAAACAAAAACCATGTTAGAAAGTAGAACTTATTCAAGATATTTTCTGCTTAAAAAATATTTAAAACCGTCAAGTATCTTAATTTTTCAGATGAATTCTAAATTTGGGCTCTAGACTGTCTGTTCCTTTTTCCAGTTGGCCTACTTTTGTCTTAGCTGCACAATTTGTCCTTAATTCCCTGGAAGATGTCACAGCCACCGCCTTCCTCTATACGTTTGTCAGCCATCCCCTCTGCTTGGAGTACCCTCCCCCCCCCTTCTCTGCCAGTTCTTACTTTCAGCTTCAAAACTCACTTTTTGGGGAACCAAAGCATTAAGTACAGTTGGTACTTGCCTAGCATGTGGACCCAGGTTCAATCCCCAACACTGCATATGGTATTCCAGGTCCTGCTGGGCATGATCGGGCATAAGTGCAGAGCCGGGAGTAAGCCCTGAGCACTGCTGAGTATGGCCTAAACATCCCCCACCCGCTCCCCTCCCAAAAAAACTATAATTCAGTACCTATACCTATTACATACCAGATATTCCCACATGTGATCATGTGTGTCTCCCCACTTTCCTTTCCTCCTAGGATATTGTTTTCCTAATTTCTGGGGAGGAAACTGGGACAGTGTACTAACTTGTCTAAAGAAAAAGAACATTTTGGACTATGTTTTCTTTTCCTTTTTTTGTTTTTTTGTTTTTTTGTTTTTTGTTTGAAAGCCCTGCTTATTCTAATACCTCAGACTACTCTGTTGCCCTATGGGTGCTTTTGCAACAGGAGCTTCTTGACATTATCAAAAATTTATAGTGACTCTTAATGAAGTCAAACCTTATATCCTCCTAATGCTTGATTCTCATGGCCATTTTGGAAATATTTTTAGTTATTTCCTTCTTCAGCCTCTTCAGTGGTGTCTGGATTTTTATACAAGTTTATATTCCCCTTTAGAAGTGATGAGAAGGGGAAATTACTCTTATGATGTATTTTAAGGGCATAGGTTTCCTTTGTGTGCAACTTTTCTCTTTTTTAAAAAAAAAAATCTGATCTGGGAGCTGGAGCTATAGCACAGCAGGTAGGATGTTTGTGCTATACATGGCCAACCCGGGTTTGATTCCCAGCATCCCCCGAGCACCGCCAGGAGTAATTCCGGAGTGCAGAGCCAGGAGTAACCCCTGAGCACCACCGGGTGTGATCCAAAAAGCAAAAAAAATAAAAAATAAAACCTGATCTGTACAGGAATAAAAGCCATCTCTTAACTATTTCCAGGATTCACAGCTTCGCCAGAGTACAGCATATAGCCTACATCAGCCTCAGGGAAACAAGGAACATGGAACTGAGCGAAATGGGAACCTCTATAAGAAAAGTGACGGGTACGTGAGTTGGGGGTGCTAGAGTATATGTGGATATCTGTTATTTCCTGTGTCAAAATTTCTAATCTCCCCCCTCCTCCCCCATTTATCTGTAAGGATCCGAAAAGTGTGGCAGAAAAGGAAATGCTCGGTTAAAAACGGCTTTTTGACCATTTCCCATGGTACCGTAAGTACTCTAATTCCTGAGCCCTGCTGTCCTGGGGGAGAGAGTGGGACTCAGAGCTTGTGTGCTGTGGCTGGTATAAAGGGTGCATTCGAAAGGGTTTCCTTGTTGAGGAGAGCAGGCTGGGGTATCTTCTTGATCTGGTTCACCTGCAATCTTTTTATGCTTTTTCTATCCGGAAAGAGCCTTTCTGTCTTTATCTCACAGAGTCACAGATTCTTGGTGAGAGGAGGTGTGTAGAAGCAGTGACTTCCAGAAATAGATAGATAAGCAGAGAAACCCAGCAAACCATGCCCCAGTTATTTCTGCCTCTGGAAATCAACTATCTAATTTGGGAAGATTTTTCTGCTTTTCCATTAAGAGGGAAATACGTGAATGGTTCAGATTCTAGGAAGCAAAGCCAAGAGGAGAGAGAGAGAGATTTTAGTCATCTGCTTATAGATTTCCAAGTCACTGCAACCTAAAGCGAGTCTATCCTTTTTCTGCCACTTGTGTATGAAGCCGGGTTGGGAGAAGTATGACCTTTGTGTTGAGCCTGTTACAAGTCGACCTGAATAAAAGGTCTTACTGGTCTAGGTTTTGTAGAGTCAGTTGCAAACTCAGCCCTTTACACTGTTGTACTGTTCCCAGGAGAGCCATGTTATCCACTCAGCTGGTGTGTGGCAGCATCTGGTGAAAGCCGTGCCACCCAGAGGTGTCTCATGGCTGAGTTGGTTGCTGTTTTGTTGCTAATGGCTTGTGTTTCTCTCCTCCAGCAAGAAGGACAGGGCTGGGTGCTTATCGTAGGCTCAGCCCCTTGGTAGTAGATGGGGTGGCTATAATCCTGAGTCTGCATCTTGCCCTTCTCTGTCTCTGTCAGTCTACTAGTCGCTTGGGTAAAGACAGTGCTGGCCAGGAGCATAGATAGGTTTACCAGACCTGCTAGATTTCCTTGCCCTGAGGAGGTTCTGGAGAAACAGTCTTTGTCAGTACTTCTGAGTATGGAAATAACATAAGGGGACAAGGGTTGGAACCCCGTGAAGGAAGGCCCAGAGCACAGAGTGACTCTGCCTGAAAAGGGAGAAATGCAGAGTTGGCAAATATCACTTACCTGCTGTAGGGGTTTCTGGGAATACTTGGCCTTGTTTATGAGCACCTCGTTGTGTGGCTCTCGATGTTTTTTCTTTTCATCTAGAGATATCTAAATGTGTGCCTAGATGTGAGTACTATCAGGTGAGGGAAGCGAGAGTATTTAATCTATTTGATGACCATTCCTCTTAAAAAATAAGACTGTTAGACCACTGGAGGGGTTGGGGGTGGGAAGGAGGTGGTTGAAGCAATAGTACACTGGGTAGGACGCTTGCTTTGCACACGGCCAACTTGATAGGGTCCCCAACATACCGTATGGTTCCCTGAACCCCACCAGGAGTGATCCCTGAGCCAGGAGTAAGCCCTGAGCACTGCTGGGTGTGGCCTCAAGAAAGCCATTGTGGTGTTGTGTCCCCTGATGGCTCACTTCCCTAAATATCTGTGGAAAACTTTCAGATCACTTTGCATACTGTTGTCTGTTTTGAATTCAGGCTTACCACCTCTTTACAGGGCATTTCATAAAACATGACTGAGTTTCAGTTCATGCCGGCTTACAGGCTTGAGTCATTTGGTGTGTTTCCTTCATTAAAGTGTTCCACAAGCCCCATGGCCTCAGGCTGCACCAGAGCGGTTCTTCCTCCATGGCAGAGAAGAAAATGAGCCTAGTAATCTTTTGATGACAGGATCAACTTGGGTTCAGGGCACTTCCATTGTTGCGCTTTTCCTGAAAGGCGTGGAGACTTAGTTGTGTGGTTTTTATTATTTATTTATTTTTTGGTGGTGGTTGTTTTTAAGGTTGCTGAGTTGTTCCAGTTTTTGGCAGAATGCATAGTGATAACAAACTTCACTAACATGTTGACAGCTCAGCTCTTCACACAACTTGCATATTCAATGAGTGCTTTGTGTGTGTGGGGGGGGGGGGGGGGGTGCTGGAAGGGGAGGGCAGATTCCCTGCTCTCCCGATTCTTCATCCCGTATGTAACCGCTTGACCCTGAGCATCTGGAACAGCCACTGACTCTCCTCCAGCCCAGCCACTTGGCAGGTGGGCGCTGCCCTCATCCTCTCTAGGAAAAGAATCAGGTTCAGGGCCTGGAGAACAGAAATCTCCCCTCCCCCCTTCCTCCTCAATCCCTCTCCCCCCCCTCCCCTCTCTCTCTCATTCTCCCTCTCCTCTTTCTTCTCCCCCCCTCCTCTCTCCCAACCAGGTGGTGTGATTTCATCTCTGCAAGGAAGATCAAAGCTGTTTTCAACCTGGTTTTGTTTCTCTGTGCCCCTCGGAGTAGCTTGGCTATTTAGCCAGCATCTTCTGGCAGGAAAACCGGGAGGGTTCTTCAAAGACCAGACCAAGTAGATGGGATGCTAAGAGCAGTCTCTGGCCCTTGGCTAGGAACCTGATCTTTAAGCTGGAGAGGCATACGGTGCATGTGCACTGTTAGGAAGAGCAGTTTCTTCCCAGGAAGCTGGCAGCCCTGGCAGTATGAAAGTGTGGTGTCTACTCTTACAGCCGGTTGAATTCAGAGAAAGCCCACGTCGGTGCTACCCCGCTTAGCCAAGGCTGATTGTGCTTTTTGGCACGGCAAAGGAAGTGATCCTTGGGACAAAATAACTCTAATTGGGTATCGTCTTTGCCAAATTCCTAGCAGTGCCCACTGCCAAGGACTCTGTTGAGCTGGAAGCAATGTCCACTAGTTTTTATACAACCTAAAATATTTAGGTGCTCTCTCATCCTGCAAAAAGAAAAACACAGACTTCCTTTTGAAGGCCTAATACATTGAGGGGACAGATAGAAGGCTTAATAAATGGAGCTGGGAGCTGATAGAATTAAAGCATCTTCTCCCTGAAATTGTCTTTATCCACTGTCCTTTGCTTTCTTGGACTAATTATAACAGTTTTTGAAGTGATAATAAAATCACCCTTAGACATGTCTTAGACTAGAGTGTGTTGTGATTTGTTACTGTGTGTAGGGGTGGGGTGGGGGATATTTATGCAAATGGGTGGATTTTTGGTGACTGGATTAAGTGACAGATTGTTAAGTGACAGATTAAGCATTGAGGTTTACAAAGCTATTGTCAGCACCTTAGCTAGTACAAAAAAATTATTTCTCCATCCTTTTTGTGCTGTACCATCCATCCCCTGGGTGTGTTTACACACAGAGTTCTGTCACCAGAAGCTGGGCGGGTGTCCAGTTCCCCGGCGCAGCACCACTGCATTCAGCTGGACTTCAGGGCTGGACGCCTCTGAGCTTTTCAATCCCGGCGATTCTTTTAATGTCCAGAGCGAATGTAGAGTAGCCCGTGATTTCATGTAAAAGATCAAGTGAACACGCTCAGAGAGGTGTCCGTGTGGCGTGCCTTGGCCCCCTGAGCCCCTGTGAGGGCGGGTTTGTAGGCTACCTAGTTTCCCTGCCCCCAAGCTCTGGCTGTTACCCTCTGAAATTCAGGGACCCACTCTGAGGGGCTGCCCTCATCCTCCCCGTGTGCACTGTGTCCCGACAGCCCGCCTCTGCCAACGGGAGGGCAGTCCGAGCGAGCTGGGCTGGAATGAGGAGAGATGCTCTGTGCTCTTCTCTTCCGGCCCCATCCGTCCTCAACTGTTGTTCATTTTCAAACAGGCGAACCGCCCTCCCGCAAAGCTCAACCTTTTAACCTGCCAAGTGAAGACCAACCCGGAGGAGAAGAAGTGTTTCGACCTCATTTCTCGTAAGTTTCCCAGGCAACACCCTGGCCCTAGAGAAACTGGTTTGAGTGCTCATCCTTGGGTCGGGGTAGCCGCCTCCTGTCAGGAAGCGCCTCATGAAGAGCTGGTTTCCCCCAGCAAGCCACGTTTCTCTTCCTGTCTCAGAGTTGGGGGCTGACTTGCGCCCTGCGCCCTCGGACCCTGGCTGTCCCCTCTATAAGCTGGGAGATCATGGGAGATCAGCCCGTGCCTCACCGCCCTTCTGGGACTGTAACACAGGGGCTTCTGTTGTCAGCCTTCCCGGCTGGGCCCTATTAGCTAAGATGATGCATCCTCAGCCTGGCCTTTGTTTCTGAGCTTCACCATCCCACCCCTGCTGGTTCCTCAGGCCCCTGAGCTTTCCTCCTTTGTGGCATTCACTAAAGGGTCCCTGCAGAGCCCGCTATTGTGGCAAGGGTTCCCTCACCATCCCCTAAGAGGGGAAGGGGGGGAGTTGTGAAAAAAAATCATAGAGAAGAAATAAGACAGGCCCTTTGTCCTTGGCAGCGCTGAGGGCTGGCAGACTTGTAGCTTGTGGAGGGGAGGGCAAGGGGGCCGTCTCCCCCTTTTAGTGTCCACAGCGAATGCAGAGTAGCTCATGGTTTCATGTAAAAGATCAAGTGAACACGCTCACAGAAGTGTCTCTGTGGCGCGGCTTGGCCCCCTCAGCAGGCGTGAGGGGTTTAAGCACCAGCAGCCTTTCTCTTCCGTAGGAACAAACTCTAGATGCAGAACATGGAGAATATGGGGCTTGTCTTTTTGCCCCTGGACTCCCGAGCATGAGATGCTTCTTAAGATGCCCGTTGGATGCTGTTGGCGGGTCAGGAGTGGTTCCGAGCAACCGGGTCTCTGGCGGCAGGAGCACCGCGCCCAGGCAGCTCTGCTGGGCTAGCTGGCGAAGCGAAATCTCCTTCCCTGCCCCCTTAAAACAACAACAACAACAAAAAAGCTATCCTTTAAGTTTGTTTTTGGATCTATCACAGACAGGCAGAGTTCGGTCTCGCAGCCCGCTCCTGCCTTGTAGCATCCTAGTGCCATTATCCCATTGTATGTGGTCCAGGTTCAAGTCCGTCTGAGCGGCTCTCAGAACCAGGGCGCTCACTGCCGGGGAACGTCAGCCCCGGTGGTGGGAGACGCGCTGGAACACAGTATGCCTGAAACTCCGCTGTGGAGAACTCTGTTAGTCACGGTGTATTCATTTTAAAATAATTTTCTTTTATAATAACCAACAGGAAATGAGCATTGAGGCAGTGCTGTTGAGTCTTGTTCAGATTTCTCAGGCTTCCCACAAATGTCCTCAGTCTGTCCCAGGGCTCTCCCGCTGAGCCCACCTTGTGGTGATATTTTCTCTCCTATAGACTCAGTATTTCCAGAGTCTTTCCTGATCTTGACACTATTCTTTTTTTTTTTTCTTTAAAAAAAAAAAAGCAAAAAAAAATAAAAAACACTGATACACTCTGGGTTTAAAATGTCCCTCAACTTAAGTCCTCTGTTGCTTTTTCTCCGTGGGACTTAGTTCTGGCAGGAACGGCACAGGAGAGAGGCTGTGCTCTGTGTAGTACCTGCACACCTCTTCCTGTCTCCCACGTACCCCTGCCCCTCACCCTTCCCTTCTCCCACGCCTCCTTCTGCTCACCTGAACCTCCCTTCCCCTCTCCTACACCCCTCTTGCCCTCACCCCCAGACTCCTTTCCTTCTCTGTCAACCCCTCTCCCTCCCCCCCCTCCTCTCCCGCACCCCCACACCCCTTCCCCTCTCCGCAGTACTCCTTCTCCTTGCCTGCGCAATCCTGTCCTCTCCCCCAACCCTGCCCCTCTCCTCTGCACCCCGTACTCTCCCGCGCCTGCCCTGTGTCTGTGTCTTCAAGGGTTCCTCTTGCTGTCCCCTGTGTATTAGAACACTCCATCACATGCTACTAGTAGAATTGTTCAGGGTCATCTTTTTCCAAGACTAGAACATTTCTAGGATACTCAGTTTAGAAAAGGCTTTTAAGAGATCTTAGTCATTCCCCTGAGAAGCTAACTCTACAGCAAATTTTGCAAATACAGCCTTGGGGGTGGGAGAGAGTGTGCAGGGGTGAAGGCATCCATGCCTTGTACGTGCCTGACACCGATTGGATCTCTGGCACCCTAACGTCCCCTGAGAATCATAGGGTGCCAGTCTGGAGCTCCCTGGCACTCTGGAGGTGGCCTGGGTGATCCCCAGCACTCTGGATGTGGCCTGAGCATGCCACAGCTGTGGGCCTTCGCATTGAACCACCAGTCCAGTTGTCCAGGAATAACCAGTGGGGCCCCCAGGACCCCTGAGAACTGTTTGGTAAACCCCACAATCAAGAGTTTGAGGGGCCAAGGAGATTTCACAGGGGTTCAGGGCTGCAGGCTTTGAAATGTGCAGACCCCAGGTTCTATCCCCAGCACCACAAGCCCATCTTCCTCCCCTCCTGCCCCCAGTACTGTCTCTGGTGGCTCCAGCACCACTAAGCCCATCTGAGTATCACAGGAAGTAGCCCCGGGCCCCTTGAGCTCTTCTTGGGCAGTCCCCAAAATGAATAAAACATTTGAAAGGTTAAATGATAATTTCCATCAACTGGTCATTGTTTTTGGAAGCAGCGTATCTTTAGATTTGAAGGGAGAGACAGGGCGGACTCATTCATCTCCATTTCAAGTCACAGTCAGTCACCAGCAAGGTCAGGCCTGTGAAGGGTGGAAGGGAGAGCTTGATTTTATACCAGTCATTAATTTCCTAGCAGAGTTGGTTGTTCTGAGGCGCACTGTAAAATCCTTGGGGACTTGTGTCCACGTTTCTCTCTTCGCTCCCAACTGATGGAACTCCCCTTGCCCTGCAGATGACAGAACGTACCACTTTCAAGCAGAGGATGAGCAGGAGTGTCAAATGTGAGTTCTCTGGGAGGGAGGAGGCTTGGGGCAGGAACTTAGCCGTGCTGGGCCTTTAACCGAGGCACTGTCACTCTCCTAGATGGATGTCTGTGCTGCAAAACAGCAAAGAAGAAGCTCTAAACAACGCATTTAAAGGGGATGACAACACCGGAGAAAATAACATCGTCCAGGAACTGACGAAGGAGATCATCTCAGAAGTGCAGAGGATGACGGGCAATGACGTGTGTTGCGACTGCGGGGCCCCAGGTGACCCAGGCACCCCACCGTGGAACACTTGAATGCCTTTCAATCTGCATCAAGACCTCTTTCATTTCAAACAGGAAGTTCAGTGTGGCTCAGCCTGTGCTCCCTGAATCGTGGGCCGGCAAGGGGGAGTCTGTGCTAGATGTGTCAGCCTCTAGCACCTCCAAAACGGACCCTTGGATGGTTGCCCAACAGAATTACTGTGGTTTAAATGATCTTTGAGAAATGAAAGCAGTGGGCAAAGGTGACCCCGGCAGGGTCTGGTGACATCAGCTCCGAGGGGCAGCTCCCAGGCTCCACTCCGCCCTCTCTGCCTAGCTTCGCAGAACCTTTGCAGCTGTTTCTCACCTTTAAGCTGCTCTCTCTGGTCCTTGTAGTGCTGCTGGATTGGTTAGATGCCAGTTTCCTAACTAAAAAGAGAAAAGACTGGTTAGGATTGTTGGCAGGAACCAGAGAGAGAGTGGGCCAGCCAGGATGCTTGACTCGCACACAACCAACCCAGATTTGATCCCTGACACCACCTATGATCCCTTAAGCACAGCCAGGAATGATCCCTGACAACAAAGCCAGGAACAGGCCCTGGACACCGCAAGGGGTGACCCCAAAACTAAAAGAGGGGGGAAAAATGCTTGCAGGCCCTTTCCAGACACGTGAAGTGAGATACATGTGTATTGCTGAGAATCTAAACCAGGGACTGAGGCATATAAAACAAACAGTTTTATCCCCCCACCGCTGTTTTGCATTTTGATGAAGTTTAGTAAAAGCATCATTACGATGGGCATAGAGTGTCTGAGTTCGATTCCTCTGCCCTTCTCAGAGAGCCCAGCAAGCTACCAAGAGTATCTCGCCCATACGGCAAAGCCTGGCAAGATACCCATGACATATTCAATATGCCAAATACAGTAACAACAAGTCTCACAATGTTACTGGGCCCACTTGAGCAAATCGATGAACAACAGGAGGACAGTGACAGTGGCAGAGTTTTATTCTAGACTGTAACAACTGGCATTTAAAAGTTTAAGTAATTGACTTACTCTCCTAAGAGCACCAGTTATGTAGCATGGTGCTAGAGTACATGCCTTGAGTAAATGAGGCCCTGGGCCTCATTTGATTCCTAGAACCTCATTTTTTTTTTTTTAATGGAATGATGTAGGGAGGTTGAAGATAACTTGACAAATCCTTTTCTCTGAACATTTGTGAAGTAAGAAACATCGTGGCTTAAGTGGTCATTACCTTTTCATACCTCTAATTTGGTTTAAAATACAACAGTAATGAGGTGGACAGCTGACAGATGATGTGTGGTACCTGCCACCCTAGAGGCTGTCTTCTTGGGCAGGTAGAGGGATTGCCTCACAGGTTTTGACCATGAAAATAAATCTTTTTGGCAGGAGATTAGACAGGGAGTGGCTAGTGAGTCATGCTTTTTCTTAAGATAAGACAGGGTCAGGGAGATCACTCAGAGGGCCAGCATTGGCTTTTCATGCTGGAGCCCCGGGTTTGATCCCTAACACTGCATGCTATCCCCTCCCCTTCCCCAGCACCACCAGGAGTGACCTCTGACCACTTCCAGGTGTGGCCTGAGATTTAAAATTAATTTTCAAAAGAGAAAGACAAGAACAGAACAAAAGTAGGAATTTGTTACTACTAGGCACATACTTCACACATATGAGCCCCTGGGTTTGATCTCTGGTGCTGCAAAAGGGAAGACAAAAACAAACAAAAGATAAGCTCAGACTGTACTTGGACTTTTAAAATGCCTTCACAATGAGAGCCAGAGAGGGAGTACAGTGGGTAGGGCACTTGCCTTATGTACCCAAGTTCAATCCCCAGCACCCCATATGGTCCCCTGAACACTACTAGAAGTGATCAGTGAACTCTGAGCCAGTAGTAAGTCCTGAACAGAACTGGGGATGGCCCCAGAATTAAGCAAACAATCAAAAAAAATATATATGCAAGTGCATGTACGTGTGTGTGTGTGTGTGTGTGTGTACCCTTACAAGAAATTGAAACTATACATTTTTAAATGCTGAGGGACTAAGGTAGCAGCTCAGCAGTCAGAAGTATGTGTGTGCCATGCAGCGGGACCTGAATTAGAATCCTGGGGTCACCAGATGTCACCCTTGAGCCCTCTGAGGGTTACTTCAGCCCCTGGCACTGCTGGCCTGAACACACCACATTATCAGGCCACACATTGACCTTCCAGCCAAGTGTCACCAGCAGTGGCCCCAGGCTCGCGGAGCTCTGCTTTGGAGCACCCCCCTCACCCATGCCAAGAAACATGGTGATTTTAAAACTTGGTGAGCGCATAATAGGTCTTAGGGAAATACTTGACAAATGAATGTCAAGTACATAATAAGGTGTAATTGTGCACTGAGAGCAAGCACCACAAGGGCCACGGAGGTGGCTCAAAAGACTCATGCTTTGCAGGTGGGAGCCCCAGGTTTCAGTCGCCAGCATCACACGGTTCCCCGAGCACTGCTGGGTGTTTGTCAACAAAAGCAAAACACTGGTCTGGTGGGTGACTTGAGTTCAGACGAAGGCAGAGTTTGGCTCTGCACGCTCCAGGGTCAAGATCCGTTGCATTTGAGAGCATTGTAATGCCTCCCGAACCTGGTCTACCTCCTAAAGGCTCTTATGGATCAAATGAAGCTGTTCTAGAAAGTATCTATAATTTTACATGGTGAGCTCTGGCTTGCTCTTATGGCACCAAATACAGAGCATCAGCATAGAGTATGCATTCTCGGTCAGTTGTTTTAGCATCCTTGTGAACAGACAGACAGGCATGTTTCAAGACGGTTCCCATTGTGATACAAAACTTAAACAGGACTCATTTTTCTCTAGTTCCTCTTTGCTCAAATGTTTGAGGGGGTGTCTTGAATACAGACAACCCTGGGGGGGGTTTATGGCCACTAGAGGTCGCTGTGTCGTTCATATTCTTATGCACATGGCATGAAGGACGGTAGATGCCTGGGAAGAGAAAACTAAATATGTGAATATGTGTGTGGGTTGTGCGGAAATTGGTAATTAGGGATGAATGAGGGCTCCATCTGTGTCAAGGATCATGCACATCGTATTTCTTTAGCTCTGCAAGAGAAAAATTCTAGCCCTGGACCTCTACTTCCTGCTAGCGCCAATGTTTTCTATTTTCTTTGGCAGATCCAACTTGGCTTTCTACCAATCTGGGCATCCTGACTTGCATTGAGTGTTCTGGAATCCACCGAGAGCTGGGCGTTCACTACTCCAGGATGCAGTCCCTGACATTAGACGTGTTAGGAACATCTGAACTGCTGGTAATTTCCAGATCCTTGATTTAAGAAATAAGAAGAAAAGAGCCGAAACTAAGGTTTAATTTAGCTTTAATAGATATTGTATATTCTGTAATATATATTGAAGTAACATGGTTTACATTAGTGATGACGTTGAAGCTTTTGGTGTACAAAGTTTTTTTGCTTCTTGGGTCACACCCGGCGATGCTCAGGGGTTACTCCTGGCTCATGCACGCAGGAATCACTTCTGGCGGTGCTCGGGGGACCATAAGGGATGCTGGGAATCGAACCTGTGTCGACCATGTTGGCTGCATGCAAGACAAACGCCCTACCCGCTGTGCTATTGCTCCAGCCCCAGGTGTACAAAGTTTTTTATACCACCACTTCATTCCCATCTAATTTGCCACTTGGGGATTGGGGGATGGGGTGAGGCCACACCTAGCTGTGCTCACTACACCTGACTCTGTGCTCAGGGCTCACTCTTGGCAACAATCATTGTCATTTTTTGGTTAAATCCATCTTTGTTTCTAAATATATACACTGGAGGGGTGGCTGTAGATAATGTCAAGTGGACTCGGGCAATTAGAAACTGATCATTCCTCCTCCTCAGCTACTAATATTTTAGGACACATCTTATAAAACTTTATCCTTACATGCATAAAATGAAGAGAAACACAGAACAGGAGCTTTGAAATTGGTGTAGGGTTGGTTCACAGCATTCCTTAGACAGGCTTGACCCGCCCAGATGGCAGAGCACACCTCCCTACATCATGGGCCACTTTCTGACCAGACCGTCCTCATTACTCAGCTTAAGCCTCCAGTGATCTTTGTCCTCTGTCCTGTCTGTGGCCCTTTCGGAAAGATACTGGTTTTTACTTTTGTTGCCTTTTGTTTAAAAAAAAAAAAAAACAAGCAAAGAAACAAACCCATTAGAGAGTAGCTCAGAGGTAGAGCACACACCTTGTATGTGTGACACCCTGGATTCAATTCTTAGCCCCCAAAAAGAAATGAGGAAACTTGAAAAGGTCCTTTGTTTCCATGATAATACATAAAATATTTGATGAAAGCATAGCAGGGAGTTGAAGCATTTTCTCTGAATAACGTGGAGGGTATAGAAACTGTTGCTCATTGAAGAACCTCACCCCTCTGGGACTCCATAAAATATGACCAGAGGCTTTCTCTGAAGCCTATACTTGCTAGCTAGGGAGTGTTTGAAATTCTTGGGAAACTTGACAGTGGACAGTAAATATATTAAGTGGCCATTGATCACCATTGATTTTTATGTCACAAGCAATAGTCTTGACAGAAAATCAATTTATTGTGGTTAATATATTTCTCCAGGGACTGTGAATCTTATTGACTATACTGGATCGAACTTGTCTGAATTTCTAATGCATTTTCAGCTATTTTTTCAAATCCGTCCAATCTTTTCAGAAAATTTGTTAAATCCATTTTTATTTACCTATTTTTTTGCTTTTTGAATGACACCTAGCAATGCATAGGGATTATCCCTGGCTTTGCGCTCAGGAATTACTCCTGGCAGTGCTCAGGGGGGGATCATATGGGATGCTGGGAATCGAACCTGGGTCAGCCACGTGGAAGGCAAACACCCTATCCACTGTACTATCGCTCCAATCCCCATTTTTATTTCTTAATATACACTGGAGGAATGGTTGTAGGTAAGGACAAACAAATGAAATTAGAGTGGATTCTCGTAGTACTGTGAAATCAATATCCCTGTTACTTCCGGTTATCACTAGAGCTGGAGAGATAATACAGCAGGTAACGCACTTGCCCTACATGTGGCTGACCCAGGTTTGATCTCTGTCACTGCATATGATTCCCTGAGCACTGCTCAGGAGTGATCCCTTCGAACAGAGCAGGAGTGAGCCCTGAGAGCCACTGGGTGTGGCCCCAGAACCAACCAACCAAACAAGAACACCAGAAGTTTCGCACTAACTGCCATTCAGCAACTCACTAGCATTGGTTGCACTCTGTGGTCATTATCCCTTTAGTAATGCAGACACCCGACTTTGACTAAGTGGTATATTGGGTAATAAATAATGGCACAGGGACCGGAGAGGTAGTACAGAGGGTTGGGTACTTGACTTGCCGTCAGCCAATTCAAGTTCCATCCCTAGCTTCCCATATAGTCCCCCAAGTGCCAGGAGTGATTTCTGAGCATAGTACCAGGAGTAACCCCTGAGTAATCACTGGGTATGCTCCCTGTCCCCTGCCCCCAAATTAAAAAAATACTGAACAAAAGTCCTACCTTGCCCCTTAGTGTTCAGTATTTTGAGTTGTGCCCCCCCCCCCAAAAAAAAAAACAAAAAAAGATTGATAGTGACACCGGGTAGAGGTTGTCACAATACATGTTTCCAGGGAATAACTCCTCAGTAAGCACTGGACAGCTACAGTAGTTGCTCTATGCCATGATTTTCTTTTAATTACTATTGTTTGGGTCGCATGCTTACCATAGCTTATTTACTTTGATGTATATAGGTGCTGCACCTCACAAACACCACCATGGTGCCCAAGACCCCCTGATTTTTTTTTTCAAACAGTGGGAAGCATTCAGTGATCTGTAGCGACCATCCCTGCTTGTTCTTGTACTGAACCCGTAGTAAAGTACGGGAGCCTGTGATTCTTTCCCATTTGCTGTTTGTTCATGGTCCCAGGCATGCCTGTGTCCCGTGTTAATGCAGCAGGTTCCTGTGTCTCGTGTTAATGTAGCAGGCTCCTGTGTCCCATGTTAATACAGCAGGTTACTGTGTTTGTGTTAAATGCAGCAGGCTACTGTGTTCATGTTAATGTAGCAGGTTACTGTGTTCTGTGTTCACATGCATCAGGCTACTGTGTCCGTATTAATGCAGCAGTCTACTGTGTCCTGTGTTAATGCAGCAGGCTCCTGTGTCCCATGTTAATGCAGTAGGCTACTGTATCCTGTGTTCATGCAGCAGATTACTATGTCCTGTGTTCATGCAGCAGGTTACTGTGTCCTGTGTTAATGCATCAGGCTTCATCACAGCCATGGAGGCAACCGCTTCACCGTGATCTGTTTTTCCCTTTAGCTTCTTTTAGGAACACATCTTAGTGGCAAGAAACTGGGGTAATTAAAGTCTTCATTTGATTAGTTCTTGGGAAATTCAGCCGAGACTACATGTATCAGACACCAGTTAAAAATCCTTAGATTTTTAAAGCAAATCTGCTTTCAGAAAACTTCATTGTAATAATAGAATTTAAGAAAATAAATTTCCTGGGGCTGGAGTGATAGCACAGCGGGTAAGGCATTTGCCTTGCACACGGCCTGACCCGGGTTCAATTCCCAGCATCCCATATGGTTACCCCAAGCATGGCCAGGAGTAATTCCTGAGTGCATGAACCAGGAGTAACCCCTGTGCATCACTGGTTGTGACCCAAAAAGCAAAAAAAAAAAAAAAATGGAATTTCCTTCTTGAAGGAGATTATGACTTCAGCATTGATGGCGGGTGGGGTCTGTGTAAACTCAAAAAAGACGGCAGCAGTCTATGTCTCACGCCAGTTCCCCAACCCCAGGGAGGTCGATGGCGATGGGCAGGTGAAGGAAGGAAACGAGGGCCAGGCTGGTTGGTATCAGTTGCAGTTTATTCCATTCCCATCTCCATTCTCCTCTGACTCTCCTCCTGCTCCTTCTTCCCCCATGCTACTTCATTCTCCTTCCCAATCCCCCTTCATCCTCCTTCTGCTCTGGAATCTGGATCTCCTTTCTTCTTCTCCTTCTGGAGTCTGGATTCTGATCCCCTATCTCCTCTTACAGTCTAGTTATATCCCCCAGCATGAGGGGTTGGGGTAACAATTACACATAGGCGTGGTCACAATCAATAGGGGTAGAGTTCTTTCCCTTGGGGAAAGCCGCTTCTAGGACAGATTGTCATCAGCAGGTCGACCCACCCTAGAGCAGAATCCCCTGGGTGTGTTTCTCCTCAACTTGTCCTCAAACATGGACATTCATAATGTAAATCATTCTGTATGGATACAGTAAGAAATACCTTAAGCTTATAGAATTGCTCTCCTAAGGCCATCTCGATCTCAGACTACAGTGCTCAGGCCAGATAGTCTTTCCTATCCCTAGCAGGGTCCTAGTCTCATCGTTACTTTTGGATCATGACAGCATTTGTCTATAATCAAGCTGTTAACTTATAGATAAGAATCGTGGCACTTTGGCCTGGCCCATTTCGATGCCAGGGTAGCTCACAGCTTGCCCTGGGTCCATTCAGTCCCTCGTCGAGACCCTGCTTTTGGGGTGCTAGGAACTAAGGGCAACTGAGGCTTAAGTCGAGAAAGCAGATGCCCGGGAGTGAATAATATTCGAAGCCAATTAAATCTTAAGTTACAAAGCATAATATTAACTGTCTTCCTGTATCTATACAAAAGGACATTGCTTTAAAATAAACTATTCAAAAGACATAAGGAAAGGAGAAAGGCAATATTAACTTACAATACAAGTTCAGTGTCCTAGAAGGATCTGACCTTACAAATGAACAGATTCTGATTAGGGGGAAAGCTGATTAACTGGTCGGGGAAGAGAGCATAAAGAAGTGGTTACAGATAAACAAAGGAATGGAAGTGACTCGGGAGCACTGTGATGGGTATAACCTGATAAACTTAAACTCTTTGTGGCAAGGGAGAAAGGACAAATCAATTGCTATCCTAAGGGAGCAGGGTCGTATGTATACAGAACAGTATCTTTGACTCTAGGATATTGGTATCATTTGATCAACTTTGCACATTTTTTTTCTTTTTGGGTCACACCCGGAGATGCACAGGGGTTACTCCTGGCTCTGAACTCAGAAATTACTCATGGCAGTGCTCAGGGGACCATATCGGATGCTGGGAATCGAACCCAGGTTGGCCATGTGCAAGGCAAATGCTCTACCCACTGTGCTATCGCTCCAGCCCCCTTGGCTTTTCATCTTAAGTGATATTTAGTCATGGAAATCTTAATATTGTGAAATAGAATCTCAGTCAATAGTTTCTGTTGTTATGTTGCTTTGGGGGGGGCTGAAGTGATAGCACAGCGGGTAGGGTATTTGCCTTGCACGATGCCAACCCAGGTTCGATTCCTCCATCCCTCTCGAAGAGCCCGGCAAGCTATTGAGAGTATCCCACCCGCACAGCAAAGCCTGGCAAGCTACTGGTGACATATTCGATATGCCAAAAACAGCAACAACAAGTTACTGGTGCCCGCTCGAGCAAATCGATGTGCTATGTTGCTTTTTGAGCCACTCCTGGCTATGCTCAGGGCTTACTCCCCACAGGCTCAGGGGACCACATGAGGTGCCAGAGATCGAGCCTGGGTCAGCCTCGTGTGAGGCAAGCGCCTTCCCTCCAAACTATCTCACCGGCCCCTCAGTCAGAATTTAAAAATCATCCATCAGGTTGAAGAGCAGGTTCAGTAACCATTTAAACACAGGTTACCCGACAGTGTTTTTTGACTTACTCCCAGCTCCCTCCATGAGGATAGAACTGGTCAGCTGACAGCCAGATCTGAAAGAGGTGTGAGGTGGAGAAGGCCCTCAGACAGGAACTGAACTCCAGTCCTGCTGTTTTTCCTGGGATGACAGTGAAGCCTCAGAAGACTAGAGTATGGCACAGTTCCTGATCACTGACCCCTGGAAGGCTCTGGATTTGGTCCTAGGGGATTTGCAGGCTCACCTAAACACAAACTGTGTTCTGAAAATGAGTACAGTTTGGACCAGAAAGATAGTACAGGTGTCAGGTGCTTGCCTTGCCTACAATCAATCCCAGTTCCATCCCTGGCACCTTAAGTGACCCCCCTCCCCCCGAGCCACCAGAAGTAACCCCTGAGCATTTCCAGGTGTGATATAAACACCACCACTGCCTCTGCTCCAAAAGAGGCCAGTGACCTGGATTTGGTCCCCAGCATTATTCTTTTCTAAGGATGAGAAAGGTAGGAGTATTTGCCCATATGGCTGAATGAACCATGTCCCATGCTCCAGAACCTGTGTTCTCTTCTGTTACATTTTTGTGTTTGTGTTTTGGGTTTATAGGGGTTTGGGTTTTGTTGTTTGAGCCACACTTGACCATATGGTGCTGGAAATTCTAACTACAGTCAGTCACATGCTGGGCAAGTGCCTTAACTGCTGTGTTGTTTCTCTTCTTTGTGTTTGTTTTAGAGGTAGATTTTCAAGTTCATGGAATTTTGTAACTTGTCTTTTGGGGTCAAGTTCTTTACCTTCTGTGACCGTGTCAGATTGTGTCTTAAAGGTGCATTCTGCCTCCTTAAGCCACCTGCCCCCTGAGGTCCAAGGTCCAAAATATACAACACTTTTTTTTATTTTGCTTTTTTGGGGTCACACCCAGTGATGCTCAGGGGCCACTCCTGGCTTTGCACTCAGGAATTACTCCTGGCGGTGCTTGGGGGAACCATATGGGATGCCGGGGATCAAACCCAGGTTGGCCACGTGCAAGGCAAACGCTCTACCCGCTGTGCTATCATTCTGGCCCCCAAATACAACTCTTTTGGTGGGTAATATGTGCCCACCTTGGTCTGGAGCCCGGCCTGGCGGAAAGGAAGAGGCTGAGTTTGCTGCACAGAGCACCTCTCCCAAGCAGCCCCAAGTCAAGGACTCACCCTTCACCTTCCTATTCCTTTCCTCGGCATGTGTGCGGTGCAGAACAGCACCATCATTGCTCCCCACCCACCCAGACATGGAAATAGGGTAGAGCAGTACCCCCCGCATCCTGTCCCAAATTCTAAAAACGATTTCTAGATCAAAGCTTGGTCTCCTCTGAGACCCATTTCTCCTGCAGAAACGTGTGATTTCCAGCCCCTGCCATCAGGGAATAGAAAGGCAGATGGACACGCATGCACACGCGCAAGCAAACACACATACACACAAACACACACACGTATTGGGAAGCAGTTGTCATGGGCATCAGTCCTTCTGGTGCATCCAGACCATCCCCCATCACAGAGTATCCAGGCTGGCTCTCTCCGTCTTTTGTCACAGTCCTTCCTAACCCCCGTCTCCCGCATGAGGCTGAGCTGCCTTACAGCTGGCCTTGAACTTCTGGGCCCTAGCACAGCCCCGGGGCTGTCTGTTCAGGGACCTCCCCAGGCAGAGGTTGGCCTCGCTGAGTGATGCAGGCCTTAACGGTTCTTCTAGATCTGATTCCGCTGCGTATCTGCCCCTTGGATAGCCGTTGAGTTCTGGGGGACAGAGCCCTGGGAATGACAGACCTGCCTTGGGGCCTTTCCTATTTCCTTGGTTCCTATCCCCCTTGGCCTGCAGGACCCACGTTTCCTGACATGTCTCTGCAGCCTTCCTTCCTGTTTGTGGATGGTTGCAGAGGCCTTCTCTGCAGGCTGACACCATCCCTGGAACTTGGCAGAACAGTGAGGTAGCACATTTCTCAGCATCGGATGAGTGACGTACGAATGTGGTGGCTCCCCGGACCAGCTGTCCCCTAAATATACCAGCCAAGTCCAAGCAGAAGGGAAGCAGCTTTCGGATTCCTGGGAAATTCTCCCCCTTTGCACCCCGTCCCCATCTGCTTCTCGCAGACCAAGAGGCACCAGGGCCACGGCTCCGGCTGTGATTCGCCTCCTCAAATCAACTGTGCTTGACTGGGAAGCGGCTCGTGCTGATGGGGAGACAAGGAGCCTCAGCGTGGGCTCACTCTGAGTAGGGGCTCATGCTCAGTCCCAGGCCTCGGTCTGATACTGGGAGCCCACGACACCTGTCGCAGGGCTCGAACTTGACTGACAGGTGTGCCGGCACTGTCTCCCAACCTGGTTGCCCGCCTGTCCCATGGTCTCTGGGGAATCTTGAGGGGGGCAGCCCATCCAGCAGTGGCTCGAGTCCTTGTGCCAGGATAGAAGATATTCGAGTCGGAGGCGTCGTCCAGCGTGTAGTGCTGGTACCCTCTAGAAGCTTTGTTCTCCCACCGAGCGCAGCTTTCATCAGGAAGGGCTCATCCCCTACTTAGCATGTTGTCTCTGCTGTCCCGGCCTCCCTCACACACTTCCCTTTGGCCTTTCCTCCAGCCAGATCTGCCATCCCAGCCACCCTGTCCACAGAATTCATTGACACGTATGCACTGGGGTCACTGGTCCCCGTGGTCTCCTCTTCAACATGGGCATGACAGCTGGTTTCATTGTTTTCAACATGACTCTTGCCGTGGTCTCATGTTCAGTGCTCCCTGTCAGTGTTCTTGATTTTCATTGTCCATGGAAGCATCTGGCCGCAGCTGACCTCTGTGGGGTGCTGGCAGAGCAGTCCTGGCCCCGGAGCCCCTGTGGGTGCCTCCTTAGAGCACTGCCCCCTGCAGGCGCTGTCAGGGTATTTGATTGGCACAAGCCATGACCTTCAGTGGCGCATCTGCTACGGGGAAAGTGTGCCCGGTGTTCAGTAATCATTCATTAAAATGTGCTCATTTGATTTGTTAACAAGCCAGGCTGATTGACAAGTGAGGAGCTTACATTTGGAGCCAAGCATTACATTTCTAGTGTGATGGGTTTTTTATTTTTTTGGTTTGTTTGTTTTCTGGCTGACTTCACCTAAATCTTGCCATTTGATCATTATTACAACCCAGTGCAAGGCAGAGAGCATCCCCATGTTACTGAGGAGAATTTGAAATTTGGCGAAATTAACTCACTTGAGACTCGCCACGCCAATCAGCAGAGTCGTGCTCTGAGCCGAAATCTTGGCTTCCTGGCCCAGCTTCCTCTCTGTGTGCCAGAGCTCCACCCTGCCTGGCAGAAATAAAAAAGTGGTTGGATGCATTTGGTCCAGGGATAAGGATGGGGCCGGGGGTGGGGAGGGAGTTGGCATCTCGCTCTGGGTTTCTCCTCTCCCTGTCCACGCAGACCCCACTGGCCAGAGGACATGAAAATGAATGCTGCTGTCAGGGGTGTGCTACTTCCTGACACTTGGCTTCTCAACGCCTTTGGGCTTTGGGTTTTGTCAGTCTTCATTACAGGCAAACCACTTTATTGGTCTATTTCTTAGCGGCATTCAATCAATTATTAGATGTCTGAGTAATCCGGAGCAGTGGGATGCATTAATAATTGAGTGCCCTGAAATAGACTCTTGCTTTTGCAGCTTGCCAAGAACATCGGGAATGCAGGCTTTAACGAGATTATGGAGTGCTGCCTTCCAGCCGAGGACTCGGTCAAACCCCACCCAGGCAGCGACATGTAAGTACGAGACGGGCCGTGCTCACTTCCTGAACAGAGGCTGGCCCTGTCCCCACGTCCTAGGAGCCATGAGAGTAATAAATTCCATTGCTTCGGCCTCTTCATTTGCTGCTGCTTTTGAGAGAGGTCATCAGCCTATTTCTTTCACTTTTTTTTTTTTTAAATCTTTGAGTGACTTTAACCTCCTGAGGGGTCCAGGTTGCATTTGATGCAGCTGTCTTAGGAAGAGGCCGTCCAGACAAAGGCTTGTGGGTGCCCGGATGTGTGGCGGGTATTGCCCACTGCTGGTGGTGGGTGAGTTCCCCCTCACTTTTCCACCATTCCCCTTGGCCCTGTTTTGGGGAGAGGGAGGACCTCCCAAGGGTGCTCAGGAGGTTCTGCAGGGGGCAGGGGTGGGACCCTCACAATTCTCAGCCATCTAGGCTGTCGGTTCAGCACTAGGCTCAAGGATACAGTGCTGCTCAGGCCTGCAGTGCCGAGGGGCCTCCAGGGCTTCACCCTATGATGCTCAGGAGCTAGTGGTGGGATAAACTGAACCTGGGTGCTCCCTAGCTGCTGCACTGTCTCCCGGCCCCGCCTGAGCCACTGAGAAGGTTCATGATCATAGAGTCGAGGATACTACCCACTTTGCTGAGTTGTAAGAAAGAACAGTGCATCTCTTTCCCATTGTTATTTTTTTTTTAATGAATCTCCGTGAGATACAGTTACAGACTTACAAACTTGCATGATTACATTTCAGTCATACAATGTTCAAGTACCCCTCCCTCCACCAGTGCCCATTCTCCACCAGCAATGTTCCCAGTATCCTCCCCCCCCCAACCCGCCCTCCCCCACCTCTCTGCCTGTGTGGCAGGCACATTCCCTCTTTCTCTTTCTGGGTGTTATGATTTGGAATACAGGTACTAAAAAGCCATCATGTTTGGTCCATAGTCTACTTTTAGCACACATCTACCACCCCGAGCAAGCCCTCCAACCATCGTTTATTTAGTGGTCCCTTCTCTATCCCAGCTGCCTTTTCCCCAGCACATGAGATGGACTTCCAATTTCCCATTGTTGTTGCAAATGCTGAGAAGGTTCTTTCTCTCTCTCTCTCTCTCTCTCTCTCTCTCTCTCTATATATATATATATATATATATATGTATGTATATGTATGTATACACACACACATATATATTTTTTTTCTTTATGTTTTTTGTTTTTGGTCCAAACCTGGCAGTGCTTAGGGATTCCTCTTGGCTCTACACTAAGGAATTACTCCTGACCATGCTCAGGGGATCTTATGGGATGTCAGGGGTTAAACCCAGGTTGGCCACATGCAAGGCCCTACCTGCTGTACTATCTCTCTAGCTCCTAAGGTTGTTTCTCCTTATAAGAAAGTTTTCCTCTGGAGCCAGGGTGATAATACAGTGAGTAGGGCGTTCAATCCCCGGCATCCCATATGGTCCCCTGAACATGACCCGTAGTAATTCCTAAGTATAGTGCCAGGAGCAATCCTTGAGCATTACTAGCTATGACCCAAAACCCCAAAATAAGTAAATGAAACAATTTTTTTGGAAGCAACCAAAGGAAAAATGGTCACGGCCACAGTCCTCCCGTTGTTCATCGATTTGCTCGAGTGGGTCCAGTAATATCTCCATCGTGAGACTTCTTGTTACTGTGTTTGGCATATTGAATACGTCACAGGTAGCTTGCCAGGCTTTGCTGTGCGGGCAAGATACTCTCAGGAGCTTGCCGGGCTCTCCGAGAGGGGTGGAGGAATTGAACCCAGCTCAGCCAGGCTGGCTGTGTGCAAGACAAATGCCCTACCGCTGTGCTAAAAAACCCTTTTGTTGTTGTTTATATTTTAGTGTTAACATTAAGCTTCATTGAGGAACCTGGAGCAATAGCACAGCAGTAGGGCATTTGCCTTGCACACAGCCGACCCTACGCTCCTCTCGGAGAGCCCGGCAAGCCACCCGTGATGTATTCAATAATGCCAAGTGCAGTAACAACAAGTCTCACAATGGAGACATTACTGGGCCCGCTCTAGAAAATTGATGAACAACGAGAGGACAGTGACAGTGACAGAGGAACCTTTGTGTATCATCAGGCACCTAGCTGGCCTATCGAGGCCAAGCTTACAGCAGGGCATTCCTGCCAGTCTCCTAGACAACGCATAGATGGCGCGGTCCGGAGAAAGAGCAGCAGAGGTCACCAGCTGCTCAGGCAGGGCACAATCTGTCCCCTCTAGAATCCAGCCCCGAGTGCTTGGGAAGTCTGTCTGTCCACGGAGGGCCTGGGATGGTCACTTTCCATTCCACAAAGACCAGCTGGAGAAAGTGGGTAGTGAGGGAGAGATGTCCACAACGGCTAACGAGATTATAGCTGCATTCACATCCTGAGTGTGAATCAGAGTGTTCGAACATGGAAAGGGAATGAGCAATATGTATGAGAGAGTAGAAAGGATCACACACTGTTTCCTGCAGAACCCTGAGGACCGTGACTGGGCAGCCCGGTCAAGCTGTCCTTGGCGCGCAGAGCTGGGAGGAGCCCTCACCGCTGCTGGTGGGTGTAATCCCAGTACCAAAAATAAGACAATAAATGTTCCTAAGAGAGAAGAGGAAAGGCAGCAGTGGGTTGCCCCCGCAGGGTCAACTTCCTTCCCAAAGCCATGGAATGTGCTATTGCGTAAAACCAATCTCGGCCCTGGCTGTGGAAGGTTGACCTCAGGGACCCAGGCACTGGACAGGCAAATAGTGCCTTGAAAAATGACACGAGGACCTACTTTCTCTCTAGCTCCCCTCTGTGGGGCCACAGGAATGATGGAAAAAGGCCTAAAACTTGGCAACTGTCCTCCACTCACCCATCATTTTGTTTTTATTCTCGATTTGGGGCCACACCTGGCATTGCTCAGGGTTTAATCCTGGCTTTATGCTCAGGGATCACTCTTGACGGGCTCATAGGACCCTAGGTGGTGCCGGGGATTGCAGGGATCAAACCTGTTTTGGCCCTGTGCTCAGCAAACACCCGCCGTGCCATTTCGCGGGTTCCACTTGCCCATCTTCGTTCCTCATTTTGTCAGAAATGACCCATTAGCAAGCCTGAGCATCTCCCCTCTCCCAGCCCCAACTTAGCTCAGAGATCCCAAGAAGGGAGCCTAACTGTTGTTTCCCAGAGTGGGTGGTACCGCCCCCCCCCTCCCCACCGGGGCACTCAAATAATCCAGATGGTGGTTGTGGCACAGAGGGCATTTCTCTGTACACTTAATGTTGACATCGAGAGTACCACTGGTGGCTCACGCTTGAATATGGTTTAATTAACATAACTGTCAGTCCTGTGTCAACATTGGACTCCTTGGGTGAGTGCTCAGAGATTTTTAAAAATTTTTTTCTGAAAAGAGGCCAATTGGTCAAATAAATGCCAGGTTTGCCAACTGCTTGAAAAAAAAACTTATAAATGTCACCATAAAGTCTTTAGCTGTACTTAGCTGAAAGGCAAAGATGAAGGGGGGAAAAATTGTTCATGAGACCTGGGATATAGATCAGTGAGAGTGTGACATTGTGCCTAGCATTTGTGAGGACCTAGGTTCAATCCCTGGCTCCAGAAAACAGCAGCAGAAAGCCCCCACTAAATTCCCCCCAGCCCCTGGTATGCCCCCCAACCCCCAAGAAAGGCAGTGCACTGTTGTGAGGGTCTGCAGAGCCTCCTAGCTCCATCCCTTCTGGAAACTGGAGGGTCTGTGCTCTCCATGCCAATACAGTGAATAGCCCCTCAGCCAGTCGCTGGGAGAGGTGGACTGCAGTTGGCAGATAACAGGTGGCGGGTATATGCAGTGAGGTATCATTTTGGCACCCAGCCGAGACCCCTGCGCCGCCCCCTCGGTGTGGCTGTGTGGGAGCTGGTGAGTGCAGTCCTCAAGCCGGCAGGGGCAGGCACAGCCTGGGAGCAGCTGGCCATGAGCAGCAGAACCTTCACTTGGAGGACAGGACCAGGCTCCACCTGCCAGGCCCCTGCAAACCCGTCACCCCATGCAGCCGTAGGAACAATGTCACCCCATGCAGCCGTGGGAACAATGTCACCCCATGCAGCCGTGGGAACATTGTCACCCCATGCAGCCATGGGAACAAGAGTCTGCCTGACAAGGAGGCTGGCATGGTTTACCCCGACTTATCTAGACTGTAAGCACGGGGGCCAGTCTGAGCCTGGCAGGACCTCGGAGAGCCTCGACTCTGAGGACGGTCCCTCTCCCACCCCTGCCTCTTCTTCCATCCTCCTTGGCCGTCCTTTCGAAACTTCACTACACTCTGCAGAGAGAATAAACTAGAGGAAGCACAGGACGCGGTCTCACCTCTGTAAGGATCTACACTCTGGGTAGAGTTCATGGCTGGAATTAAATGTGTGTTTGGCAGTGGGATCTGGTTTACCCTGCTGGGTTTTTTTTTTCTATGAACTTCTTTTGAAATATGGTTTCATCCATCACAAATCAAACAGTTTGACCATTGTGATGTACAGTGTATTGGCTTTTAGTACATTCTCAGAACAATACATCCATTACCATACCAGCTTGAGAACATTTCCCACCTCTCCAAAAACAAACCCCATATCTGTTCACCACTGCCCCCTGCACTACCATCCTTGAAAGCTCCTGCTTTCTCTCTGTGGGCTTGCTTGTTCTGGGAAGTCCCTAGAAATGGAATCATGCTGTACTCTGATCACTTGCGCTGCTCTTCCGTTAGTGGTATCTCCAAGATTCATTCCTGCTGCAGCCTGTGTTAGCGTTTTATTCCCTTTTTATGGCTGGATAATATTACATTGTATGGGTGTGCCACATTGTGCTGCTAAATTCATTAGCTAATGGACTCCGGAGTTGTTATTAGACTTTTTGACTTGGGCATCGCGGGAAGTCTAGCATCCATTGTGGCTCTCAGAAAGACTAGGCTGTTTTTCTTTCTTTTTTAATGGCTGTTGCTATTTATTGTGTGAAATGCTGAATGACTCTTGTATTTCTTACTCTCCTTTAAAGCTTTCCCAAAGACTGACTGTAACATCAGCAGTTGTGTCACCTTACCTACCTCTCATGGGGTCTTGTCATTAGTCTGGGGTGGCAGGGGGAGGATTTGAACCTGGCATCATTGGCTTCCCAGAGTTGCTCTGCCAACCTCCTTGAAGAGGTTGTCTGAACAGAACTCTCAGTCAGTGGTGGGAAAGAGACTTAAAGGAGACGGGCACATGTGCTCTGTTTTCTGTTATTGTTTGGGGTTTGGGTTTGTTTGGACCATACCCAGCTGTGGTCAGGGCTTATTCCTGACTCTGTGGTCAGTGTGCTCAGGGACCACTCATGGCAGTGCTTCAAGGACCCTAGGCAGTGCCAGTAATCGAACCTGATTGGCACATTCAAGGCAAGGACCTTAACCCTGTGCTATTTCTCCAGTACTGGCAGAGCATTTATCTCTTTGGAAGTATCTCAGGAACTTTATTTTTATTTTGTTTGGCAAAAGCCACCTTCACAAAAGAGAAGATGGAAGCTTTGCCTTCAAGGGCCTCCCAGGCTTCTACCCATTGTGGAGTGCCTGGGTGGTGGGGCCTTGAAGCTTCTTGTGTGGGAACTGGAGGGTTTCAAGTGTGTCTTGCAAGTGCTCAGGTGTCACAGAGAAAAGATGCAGCACACGTCACGTGGGCTCCCTCCCCAGTGGTTTTCTCTGGTGTTTTCTTACAAGGAGAGTGGAGCCGGGATCTTTTTACGGGGATGTCACAGATGAATAAATGGCTGGGTGTATTCGAGCCGAGGCCCCTGATAATTTATGAGACAATTATGTTTGATTTCAGGAATGCAAGAAAGGACTACATCACTGCCAAGTACATCGAGAGGAAATATGCAAGGAAAAAACACGGGGAAAACTCAGCCAAACTCCACAGCCTGTGTGAGGCCGTCAAGACCAGAGATATTTTCGGATTACTCCAAGCATATGCTGATGGTGTGGATCTAACAGAGAAAATCCCTCTGGCCAATGGACATGTAAGAGGCCAGCTGACTAGTTTTTTAAAAAAGAAATAGGGGCTGGAGTAATAGTACAGAGGGCATGCAGTCAACCCAGGTTCTATCCCCAGACCCGCATATAGTCCCCTGAGCTCTGCCAGGGGTGTTCCCTGATGCAGAGCCTGGAGTAAGCCCTGAGCACCTCTGGGTGTGGCCCCAAAACAAAAATTTTTTTAATAGAAGAGAAGCCCAGGGCATATAGTACAGAGGTTAAGGCACTTGCCTTGCTTGCCCGTGACCCCAGTTCAAATCCCTAGGACCACACATGTCCCCTGAGCACAGCTGGAGGTGGCCCAAAGGTGCACACAAAAAAGGGGCAGGAGTGATAGTACAGAGGATGAGGTATTTGTCTTGCATGCAGCTGACCCAAGGTCAAACCTGACACCACCTGGCTCCACGAACACCCTGGGAGCAACCCCCCAGCACAGAGTTGGGATTTGTCCCCAAGACTGTGTATGTCTCCCAAATCCAATTTTAAAAAAGAAGAAAAAAAATTTTAATAAGGAAAATGGTGAAGTGGTGTAACCAGGAATACTGACAGTGTGGTTCTCTTAAGGAAGAGCGCGCTAGGTTCTATGGGAAGAAATTGTTGTTTTATTCTTTTTTTAATTTTTTTTTCTTTTTGGGTCACATCAGGTGATGCTCAGGGTTTACTCCTGGCTTTGCACTCAGGAATTACTCCTGCGGTGCCCAGGGGACCATATGGGATGCTGAGAATCGAACCCTGGTTGGCCGCGTGCAAGGCAAATGCCCTACCCGCTGTGCTACCACTCCAGCCCGTTGTTTTATTCTTTGGGGTTTTTGTTGTTGTTATTTATTTGGTTTCTGGCCACACCCAGCCATACTCAGGACTTACTCCTGGCTCTGCACTGAGGAATCACTCCTGGCCAGGCTCAGGGGAGCATATGGAGTGCCAGGGATCGAACCTGGGTCAGCCCTATGCAAGGCAGGTGCCATGTGCTATGTCTCTAGCTCCTTTGGGTTTATTTTTGAGCCCAGAATGTCATGGCAGATCTGGGAAGGAGGCCAAGCCCTTTCTGCCTGCATGTCAGTAGAGGCAGCAGAGAGGGCGTCTGTGCGTGGCCTCAGCCTCCTTGCCCACCTCCACGGACGCTAGCAATGGGAGAGACCACACACCGTTTCCGGGCAGAAATATTTTTCTGGTTGGTGGCGAGGGGGTGGGCGGGGTGAGGGAGTGGCTGGGCCATACCGTGTAGCTCAGCGGCTGCTCCTGGCTCTGTGCTCAGAAGTCTCACCATAGCACTATGGAATTGTTCCTGCTTGGTTTTCAGGAGCCCGATGAAACAGCGCTCCATCTCGCAGTCAGATCCGTGGACCGCACTTCCCTCCACATAGTGGACTTTCTAGTCCAGAACAGGTGAGCGTTCTATAATGAGCGTTCAAAGCGCTGGGCTTTGTGTCTGGATGTTTCTAAGGAAAGAACCCAGTCCTGCCTCATGACCTCAGCCAAGGTGTGGGAATTTCCCAGGTCTCAACTTAAGACTGCAGCACAGGGAAAATACTGCCAGGCCTGGGATGGGCCCTTGATGCCAACCCTAGGTGTGCCCGAGAATGTGAGCAGAGCCCCTTTGTGCGTGGTACCCGCGGAACCCGGCTTCTGTTCTCTGGGGCTCGGGGAGAGTCCAGTACTTCTGGACAGCGACTTTCTCTGCAGCCTGCAGCCACCTTCTGTGCACAGCCTGTGGCCCAGTCATCCTGTGATGTGTCCTGTAGAGAAGCCCTCAGGCACCCTGCCTGAGGGAATCCTGGTTGGAGGGACACATTGACCCACGCTCCGGCCACTGGTTCAAGCTGGGCATTGTAAACCAGAACTCTGGGTTGCTTGCTTGGAGAATTTGTTTTGATTTTTTATCAGAAGGCAAGGCTGTGGAATGCCTTTAAGGGCGGTTGAGTTCAGACCGCGGAGTTCTGTGGTTTGGGGATTCGATGTTACCTGCCTGGCAGCAGAAGGCCAGACCAGACCTGTTCAGGGCTATCTCGACTCTAATCCCTGTCTGTTAAAAGCCACTGAAGTCTTTCCAGATGCACTGATTCTACAGAGCAGAAGCATGGGTCCATTTTGTTTTTCTGCTTTTCCTTGTCATTCCTAGGGGGTGAGGTGAAGAAATAGTCAGAAGACGAGGAGGGGGATGGATGGCCAGCTCCTTCCCTGGGAACGGGGCTTGGCTGCTCACTCAGTGGAAGCTGGTCATGGGGCCCCTTGCCCTCTGCTGGAGCCTGGATGCTTGCCCAGTGCCCGGCCACGGGGACTCAGGAGCCTGTGATCCAGCTGCGGGAAGAGGCCCCCCTCCCAGAGCATGAATCCTCTGAGGCACAAGAGGACAGTCCAGGTGTCTTTTCTCCAGAGCGAGAGGGTTACAGGGGCACTCAGAAAATGAGGCTCTTGGGGCTGGATCAATAGAACAGCAAGTAGGGCATTTGCCTTGCACATGGCCGACTGGGGTTCGATTCCCAGCATCCCATATTGTCCCCCGAGCACCACCAGGAGTAATTCCTGAGTGCAGAGTCAGGAGAAACCCCTGAGCTTCACTGAGTGTGATTCCCAACCCCCCCCAAAAAAAGAAAAGAAAATGAGGCTCTTTCATGACACTGAAAGTATTGCTGGCAGCGGCAGCTTTGCCACCGTTGGTCCAGCAGTACGGAGCCTGCTGTCCCCCCTTCTCAGGACACAACGGCAGCTCCAGTGACAGCTCTGCGCCCAGAGTGGGGATGGGCGCTTTCTCACCTTCTGGGGGTTCTTTTCAATCCGACGAACGTTTGATAATCTCCTCGCGCCTTCTCGCCTGCCGTACCTGGGCCTTTGTGTTTGTAGCCCTGTCTGTGCAGGTGATGCTACTGTGCTTGATGTGTGCTGTCCTCCCCAGCTGGCACACGGTGGCAGTTGGTGAGCTCCCTACCAGAGTCTTACTCAGAGATCAAGGCCACCCCTTTACCCTCTTTTTATCCCAGAGTGACTTGGCCTTGCCCTTCTCTGTGCCCTGGTCCTTTGTACAACCAAGGGGCTCAGCCTGTGTTTTCTGTGGCCCCCTCTAGTACATGGTGTTTGGGGGTCTGGGAGCAGAAAGGGTGGCTGGACCAGGAGACCCTAAATCCATCGGGAAGCAGACAGTTAGGAAGAAGGAAGGATGGTTCGCTGTTAGGAAGAAGGAAGCATGGTCCAAATGAGTTTTTCCTAAGCCTTTGCTTTTTAAGTACCTATTCATCTTGATCTATGTTTTCATGAGGCCTTAGAATAACACATGGATGAACTGGCCCAGTTAAGTTTTGGCAGAAGATGCCTAATAATGAAAGTTTTCTATGCAGTGAGGTCCTGTTTCTAAGAGAAGTCTGTGAAATTGGATGGGTTGCTTTTATCCTTTACTCTTGAAATGTTTTCCACACTTTTTGCTTGTGGAACCACTTGTCCTATACTTTCTTCACTCAGATAAAGAATTTAGGTGGCTCGGGGCCAGAGATGCACAGTGGGTAGGATGCTTGCCATGCTCATGACCGATCAGAGTTCAATCCCCTGTACCCCATATGGTTTCCCAAGCCTGCAGGAGTGATCCCTGAGCATAGAGTCAGGAGTAAGTACTGGATACACAGGGGGTGGCCCCAAAACTAAAAATAAAAAATGTGTTTTGGGGGCGGGTTGAAGCGATAGTACAGTGAGTAGGGCACTTGCCTTATGAATGGCCAATGCCAATTTTCTCCCTGGCATGCTGAGCCCTCCCAGGAGTGATCCCTGAGCACCACTGGGTGTGGCTCCCTAACCAAAACCAAACAAAAAAGAAGTTAGGTGGGAAAAACGCCCCTCTGTTCCCTCTTTGTTCATGTTCAGGAGCCCTGGGAGCTCAGCCTCTTAGGTGAGAGCCTGGGTGACCAGGGAAAGGAACATTGCCCAACCTGGGAGACAGACCTCCTGAGGCCCTGACAGGCGCCTGGTCAGCTCGGGAGAGAGGGGAAGATACCTAGTCCAGACATCGCTCCTGGGAGGCATGCAGCCCCTCAGCCCCGGCCAAGGTGCCTAGAACCTCCTTCCCTTTGCTCTTCAATTACATGGGGTCCCTACGCCCTGACCGTCTCATGCAGCCCAGAGGCTACGTGCTCGGGGCAGGCCCTACCTGGCAGGATGCTCCCTCTCCCACTCGTGCCCCTCGAGCTCCCCAGGTTCTGCCTGTGACTTCCTCTTCTCTCTCTCTCTCTGTGGCTGTCCTTGGGCAGTGGGAATCTGGACAAGCAGACGGGAAAAGGCAGCACAGCGCTGCACTACTGCTGCCTGACGGACAACGCCGAGTGCCTGAAGCTGCTGCTGCGGGGGAAGGCCTCCATCGAGATAGGTGAGCAGGGCCCTTGGGTGCCTGGTGGCCTCCATGCCGTCAGCACTTCCGGTACTATGCAGAGGATAGTCCAAATGTCTGGGAGGCTGGCAGAGCTGAGGGAACTCTGCCTTCCCAGGAGCATAGGCCTCTCCCTGAGTGTTCTGGTACTGATCGAGGGCCCCCTCCATCTGTCCATCATCTGCAGCCCTTGGATGGATCAGAAGATGTCAAGGTGGGGGCCAGACTAAAAGGCACATGAGAAAATGCTCTGCATCACTATTCATTAGGGAGATGCAGATCAAAACAACAATGAGATATCATCTCACAGCACAGAGACTGGCCCACATCCAAAAGAACAAAAGCAACCAGTGTTGGCTCAGATGTGGCGAGAAAGGGACCCTCCTTCACTGCTGGTGGGGAGGCCGACTGGTTCAGCCCCTTTTGGAAAATAGTATGGACGATTCTCAAGAAATTAGAAATTGAGCTTCCACTTGGCCCAGCAATACCACTCCAGGAAATATATCCCAAAGAGGCAAAAATGTATAGTCAAAATGACATCTGCATTTCTATGTTCATTGCTGCAGTATTCACAATAGCCAAAATCTGGAAAAAACCCAAGTGCCCGAGAGCAGATGACGGGTTAAAGAAACTTTGGTATATCTACACAATGGAGTACTATGCAGCTGTTAGAAAAGATGAAGTCATGAAATTTACATACAAGTGGTACTACATGGAAAGTATCATGCTAAGTGAAATGAGTCAGAAAGAGAGGGACAGACATAGAAAGATTGCATTCATCTGGGGAACATAAAGTAACAAAATAGGAGACTAACAGCCAAGAATAGTCGAGATAAGTACCAGGAGGTTTACTCCATGGCTTGGAGGCCAGCCACACATGCTAGGGGAAAAGGCAGCTCAGATAGAGAAGGGAGCACCAAATAAAGGGTGTTGGGAGGATCCTCCCAGGATGGGAGTGCATACTGAAAGTAGACTATAGACCGAACATGTTTGCCACTCAATGCCTCTTTTGCAGACCACAACACCCAAAAGGAGAGAGAGAACAAAAGGCAATGCCCTGCCACAGAGATGGGGGGCTGGAGTGGTGGGGTGGGAGGGTTACTGGGATCATTGGGGGTGGAGAATGGGCACTGGTGGAGGGATGGATACTCAATCATTGTATAACTGAAACCCACGCACAAAAATTTATAAGTCTACAACTGTTCCTCATGGTGTTTCACTAATAAAAAATTAAAAAAGAAAAATGAAAGGTGGGAGCCAGAGCAGTAATACAGCAGGTAGGGTAGTGCTCTTGCCCTATACACAGCTGACCCAGGTTCAATCCCTGGCACCCCAAATGGTCCCCCAAGCACAACAAGGAGATCTTTCTGAATGCAGAGTCAACCCCTGAGCATTTCCAGCGTCGCCCCAAAACCAAAACAAAAAAAATGGAGGGGAAAAAAGAAAGAAGAGGCCAAGGTTGGGCCCCACAGCCTTTACTTACTCAGCGTTCCAGACACAATCTGTCAGCCTTTGCTTCTCAACCTGAGCAGACCCAGGTGCTGTACTGGTTCAGGTTGGAGGGGATGCTGCTTCCTGCCCCTTCTCTCAGGGTCCCCAAGTCCTTCCTCTGAGGGACACTCACTCTACTCACCTCCCTCACTCCCCTGCTGCCACAGCACCTGGCAGCGGCTGTGCTCAGCCTCCCCTGTGGAGCCCAGCTGGAATCCTGGGTTTAAAACCCCCTAGACAGCCAGGAGACTGGGAGTCACAGTTCTGCTTGCGTGCGAATTTCCTTTTAAAAAACTAAAGATCGAGAACTGGGAAGACAGGGTTAGTACTGGAACTAGTACCCTAGGGTGATCCCCAGTACCACTTGGTACCCTGAACACCACTGGGCAAAGCCTTGGGGGTCAGTATGTTTCTCATAGAGCCAGAGCACCACTGGGGGGGACCTGGTGGTCCCCAGCACCAAGGGCCTGAGCAGCTCTGTGTCCTTGGCTCTGGCATTCCACCAAACGGCCCATTGGTACATGGTTGCCAGGACTGCCCCCGGGTCTCCCTGAAAAACACTTGGGAGTGCTTTCACGCCACAGAAGAAAAACTGGTGACCAAATCTTGTTGACTGGGGCTTTTATTTAAAAAGAAAAAAAAAAAAGGACATGTGTCATAGAGATTGTATAGGCGTGTATAGGCGTTAAGGCACTTGCCTTGCGTGAAGTTGATCCTAGTTCAGTCCTTGGTATCACGTATGGTACATTCAGCACCACCAGGTAGACCCCCCCCCAATTTTTTAAACAAGGAGGAAATATACAATAGATTTTCACATTTACGGCCTGCTCTAAAGAAAGTGCCACATTTATTGTATCAAATGAGCAGCACTTTTGGGTAGAGAGTTGTGTCAGACTTCCTTATAATGATAAAGCTTACAGTCTGGATACATATTTTCCTGAGCCAGATGCTACCAACCTTTCCAGTCCGACCAAAGGCCCTGCCCCATCATAGACAGACACAGGCGAGCCTCGGCCCCTCCACTGTGCTGCCTCAGTCCCTCTTACCTTGCCTCAGTGCCCCTGCTCTGTCCTTGCAGAAGCCTTTCAGCCTCAGGTCTTGGCTTGGTTTGGCCTGTAACTCTCCTTCCCACCCTCCCCATTCCCTCTTGCAGCTAATGAGTCCGGAGAGACCCCACTGGACATTGCCAAGCGCCTCAGACACGAGCACTGCGAGGAGCTGGTGAGTGTCCCTGTGGCTGTGTGGGTGGGTCGCTGGGGCCCCCTGCAAGGGGGATGTGGGGCTTACCCCTGAGCCTCCTAGTCCTATCAGAGCAACTGGGAGAAAACACAGGAAGGGGCTCAGGAGGAGGCAACCCGAGCCCACAAAGTGAGACTCGGAGCATGAGTCTACGTTCGCTGCCACCGTGTGTCTGGGGCTATTGGAACACCGCCCTGGAGACAGTCACATCTTTGGCTCTGCTGTGGAATTAGAGCTGGCTTCTGACTCCGTTCCGCACCCCCCCCCCCCTCAATTATTAGCACCATCTTTTCCTGACCTATTTAGGGGAAAGAGACAATGGTGTGGCCAGTGGACAGCCTAGTCAGGTCAGGTAGACCTGAGTTTGCATTTGGGAAGTCACCAATAAATAAAGTTAAAGTGGAGTGAGCACCACCAGTTTGCAAGGTGGTGGCACAAATTATTGTTAAATTTTAAAGCAATGGATGCATAGTAAGTGCCCAGAAAAAGAACCAGGGACGTATAGGATAAGAGATATTGTTCTGAGCACTTCCCCACCCATTTACTCATTTTTAGTTTGTAATTACCTTTTTACATGGCTTTTACCATTTGCCCCATTTTACGAGCGAAGAGGGCTGGAGCAATAGCACAGTGGGTAGGGCGTTTGCCTTGCGTGCAGTCAACATGGCTGATCCGAGTTCAATTCCTCCACCCCTCTTGGAGAACCCAGCAAGCTGCCGAGAGTATCTCACCCACACGGCAAAGCCTGGCAAGCTCCCCGTGACGTATTCGATATGCCAAACACAGTAACAACAAAGTCTCACAGTGGAGATGTTACTGGGCCCGCTCAAGAAAATCAATGAATAACAGGAGGACAGTGACATTGACAGTGACCAGTGAAGAAATGGCATGCAGAGGTTAAGTATCGCACCCTAGGACACACGGCTGCCATCTGGCTGCAGAGATTAAGCCCTCATCTCCTGAGACATTCATTGCCCTTGATGAATTAATCTCTCCCTTGTGCCTTTTGACCAGAGAGCACCAGCTACCTTCCTTAGGATGGAGATCAGGGTCATTCACATCATTTCTGGTAGGACTCCATTCTCCTGGTTGGAGAAAGGCTGGATGCTTTGTTCCTCTGCACTCTCTTCCCATGTGCACTTCTTAGCACCTTCAGGCCAACCACTGTCCCGCAGATCTCTAATATTCCTTGCCCTGTGTGGATAGAGCACTTGACAGTTTGCACAACACTTAAGGCAAGTTATCAGATTTGAACTTCTGTGCATCAAGGAAGGGGCTTATCTTGTGACTCTGGCTTCTCCCTCCTCCCTTCCTCCCGCAGGTGCCCACCTGCCGTCTTCTAGACATCTGGCGGATGCCGCCTCCATGACTGAGTGCATGAACACTAATAATGCTTTTTTCTTCGCAGCTGACCCAGGCCTTGTCTGGAAGGTTTAACTCCCATGTTCACGTTGAGTATGAATGGCGACTGCTACACGAGGACCTGGATGAAAGTGATGACGACATGGATGAGAAATTGCAGGTCTGTGCTCAGGTTGTCCAACCTTGAGTTTTGTGAGATGCTTCATTCAAGAGCGCAGTGAGCCCCAGGCTGTCATTAGAGCAGAAAAGCTCTAGGAAAGAAAATAAACTGGCTTTTACTTCTACTCATCTCTGTGGGTTTCACCCATTCCCCAATGTCACCTTCACACGGTAACACACAGGGCTGTGTGATGATGTCATCGCAGGCAGTGGTTCCTCCTTGATTGGAAGGGAAGCTCAGGGCAGCCTTTGCATCTGGCGCGTCTTAGAGCAGAGTCCTTCAAACACCGGTTCGCGGACCGGTCCTGCTGTGCAGCGTAGATAGGTTGAAAACCAGCTGGTCTGTCTATCACCTTGATTCTAACTGCATGCAGGACAAATGCCCATCCACAAGCACGAAAAGGTTGAATGATCCTCTTTCAGAGAAAACTGAGAGCTTGTGAGAAAGAGCCAACGTTCTGCATTGTCAGTCGTCGAGTTTGCCAAGTTACCCTTTAAGACTGAACAGGGGAGGGGCTGGAGCAATAGCACAGCGGGGAGGGCGTCTGCCTTGCACGTGGCTGACCTGGCTTCGTTTCCCAGCATCCCATATGGTCCCCTGAGCACCGCTAGGAGTAATTCCTGAGTGCAGAGCCAGGAGAAACCCCTGTGCATCGCCAAGAAGAAAAAAAAAAAAACTGAACAGGGAAAACAGGGCTGGAGCAATAGGCTGTACAGCGAGTGGGTAGGGCATTTGCCTTGCATGCACCGCCCCTCCAACCTGGATTCATCCCCAGTATCCTATATGGTCCCCTGAGTCTGCCAGGAGTAATTCCTGAGCATTGCTGGGTGTGCACCCCTCCAAAATATATACATATATATAAATAAAATTTTAAAAAAAACTGAATTAGAAGACCTTTCCTGCCTCTTCCCTGTTCATTGTTCCAACTCTTGACTGAACGGGAATGTGAACGCCTCAGACAAGAGTCAGCCAGAGCGAAGCAGGCATTTGGAGGCAGACGTGGAGATAAGTTGAAAACCAATGGAGCAGATGAGGGCTCTTGCCAGCTCGCCCCAAGTCCCCTGACTACCACTGCATTGCTCATGTGGATGGCTGCCTTTCACACACCAGTCTCAGAGACTGTCTCCGAGGCCCACAGACCTTCCTATTGTGAGGCAGTGATGCACGCCATATCCACCTTTACACTGCACTACTGGAGAGTGTGGTGCTCTGGCATGAGCTCTGGCATGAGGCTCTCATTACATGTGTGGCTTTTCTAAAGCTAGTTGTGCTCTTGTTGTTGTTGTTGTTGTTATTTGTTTATTTGGCAAATAACTCATTTCTTAAATTACAAGAGAATTTTTTCACTGAGTTCCACTAGAAAATGGCACCAAATGGAAAGAGCTTGGCTTATACTGACCACCTGTTAAAAAGCAAAGTTGTTTTTTGTTTTGTTTCGTTTTTGTTTTTGTTTTGCTTTTTGGGTCACACCTGGCGATGCTCAAGGATTATTCCCGGCTTTGCACTTAGGAATCACTCCTGGTGGTGCTCAGGGGACCATATGAGATGCTGGGAATAGAACCCGGGTTGGCCACGTGCAAGGCAAACGCCCTACCCGCTGTGCTATTGCTATTGCTCTAACCCCAGCAAAGGTTTGAAACACAACCTTCACTGTGGCTCTTCCCCAAGCATAAGTCACAGACTGGACCCGGGGGGCAGAGGGTGGCCTGCCCAAGTGAAGTTTCTGAGCTGGTGCTGCCGTTTGCTGCCCTGAGTGAGCCCTCAGCTGTCAGCTGCTGAGTGTTGGCTCCTGACCTGGGCTCCACCTGTTTGGGGCAGACCCTTCACTGTGCCTGGTGTCCCACAGGGCGTCGTGGGGTGACACGTTTACACTGAGGGTGCAAGCCCCTAGCACTGAACTAGAGCAGTTCAAGTTAGGGTATGTGACTTAGGATCATAACCATTCATTAAAAATGAAGCTGACATTTGAAAATGGGAATTCAGTGTAATATGCTCAAGTTATGAGTCCATGCCCACACTCTTCAAGGAACACCCAGGACAGTAGCTCTTAAAGGGGCCAGAGTAATGTCGCAGTGCTTCATCTCCTCTGTGGTGGCCCCAAAGCAGCCTTGGGTAAGATGTAAGTGTCCAAGCATCATCGTGTTCCATTAAAGCTTTATTTACAAAAATAGGTAGCAGCAGCCCATGGACCCTGGTTGTCTGATCCCGGAAGTCACAATCCCACCGTGGTGCACTGGTGCCCAGACCAGCTCTCAACTGTTTCATAATCTAAAAACCATGTATTCAGATGTGTGGAACTAGAGTGAAAGAGCTCTGACTAGTCAAGATGAAATCCTCCCTATTCAAAAGCCTGTAACTTCTCCATCCTGGTGGGGTGGGGGGTACAGGGACCGCATCCCTCAGAGAAGCCAAGAACAGTGAATTTTCAGTCCATCTCGCAGTTCTCACATGGCAGTTGGGAGCTGCAGTTGCCCCAGGTCCCACGTGTGCCTGAGGGTGTCCCCCGCCATAGGCTGGGCCCTGCTCGCAGAGGTCAGTGAGCTGCATCTCACACACCGCCTGACGCCTTCTGCAGCCCAGCCCCAGCCGGCGAGAGGACCGACCGGTCAGCTTCTACCAGCTGGGCTCCGGCCAGCTCCAGTCCAACACCACCACGTCTTTGGCCAGAGACGCCGTCGGCCTTGCCAAGGACAAGCAGAGGAGCTTCGTGCCCAACATCCTGCAGAATGAGACGTACGGGACCATCCTGAGCGGAAGCCCACCCTCCACCCAGCCTGTCGCCCCCAGCACTGCCAGCGCCCCCCCGCTCCCCCCGCGGAACGTTGCCAAAGGTACAGTGCTGCTGCAGCCCTCCGTGCTCCGGGGGCTGGGGGTGCTGCTCTGACAGGTCCCCAGTTGCTTCACTTCAGGTCCGGTCAGGATGCTGATTCCATCTGGGGTTCAGCACTTTACAGTCTCGTTATTTCACTTCCGGAGGAATCCCACCATTCTCCTAATGCTTGGGACCTAAAAGGCATCTTGGCCATGTTCTCCTCCTGGCTCGGCTTGTGTTGTGCTCTGGAGGGGGCAGGGTTTTCCCCCCACCCACCCACCCCCACCACCACCACACACACACACACACTCCTGGCCACTGAGGGCGGGGGCAGCTCTGCTTGCTGCTAGCTGTGTCAGTGGTTTCCTGCAGGCCTTACTGGTGTGGTGCTGTGCTGGTCACCTCTCACCATCCCTCCCTGTACCTTGATTCTTTTTACTTTATCCCTATCTGCCAACTTGTCGCACTTATCTTTGACCCCTGGGAAATGACCGAATGATGCCCGTTCAGAGCGCAGTGCCCTGGCTGATGATAAACATCGTCTCCCTCTGCACTCAGAGAGAACATGTGTTTTGTCCAGCTCTGATTCCTGGCTTCCCCTCCCAACACCAGCATCTCCGTGTGTGGCCCAAAAACAAAACAAGGAAGGACTTTTCCTTGTGGATTGGCCCCTCAGTGCCCCCCAAGTACCTGTGCTAACGACACCCACCCCATTTGGGATGTTGTAACAGTGAAGTGGATGTCACAGTTCACATATATTCATTTAAAAATAAAAACAGTGGGTAGGGCTCTTGCCTTGCATATGGGGTTCAATCCTCAGCACCCAGTATGGTCTCCCAAAGCACTGCCAGGAGTGATTCCTAAGTGCCAGGGCCAGGAGTAAGAGCCACCTGCTGTCCCTGATTTTCACCCATGGCTCCACCTGAAAACACCATGGGGCCACTAGAGCTGTCGAGTCCTCGGGTCCTTGAGAGCACTTCCCAAAGAGTCGGACATGCCACAGCCTGAACTTCACTGCCTCTGTGTGTGTGTGTGTGTGTGTGTGTGTGTGTGTGTGAGAGAGAGAGAGAGAGAGAGAGAGAGAGAGAGAAAGAGAGAGAGGACTGGCAGGTGTCACCCGTCGTGAACTGAGCTCTATCAGGGAAAATCACCCATGTTTGTCACTCCAGGCAGAGGCCTGACATGGCGGTGCCTGAACTCGTCTGGATGTTTCAGGAGCAGATCCCACAGCCGCCCCTTCCCCCCTTACTATCTTGTCACTCTGGTCAGCAGGACCCAGGCCAGTGCGGCCAGCATGGGAGGTCACTCCCTGGGTGGTGTCTCTCTGTCCCTGCCTTGCCCTCCTCTCAACATCCTGTGAGCACATAGGTACTAATTTGTAAGGCCAGGGTGAAGGTGCTTGGTTTCTCCCGGCCCCCCTCCAGTGGCTCTCACCCACTCTGTCTTACGAGGGAAGATGTTATCCTGCTCTATTGGATAAGATGAAAGAGGCCAGAGAGATAGGACCGCAGGTTCAGTCCGTGGTACCAGTCCCATCGACCCCACCAGGAGTGATGCCTGAGTACAGAGCCAGGAGTAAGCCCTGAGCACTATTCGGTATATCCCCCCTCGCAAAAAAAAAGAAAAAAGAAAAGAAAAGAACGGACAACTAATTCTGAGGGGTTTTCCATTGGTTTCTCCCTGTTCCCATTACTATTGTGTTGACTCGCTTTCTTCCTCTGATGATGTGCTTCGTCCTTGCTGGCCCCACGTGGCCTTGCGAAAGCTGCATCTAGTCTTCACATGGTCCCACACGTGATTGCAGGCAGCACAGAGTCTCAAGCAGATGCAACCAAACTGTCTGCACCAGGCGCATAAGACTTCCGCTGGGCCCTGGGCCAGGCCAGTGCAGGTGGGGCCACCTCGAATCTCCAGGCCTAGCCCTGCCCGGGTGGGCCAGACATTGCCCCAGGGCCCTGAGAAGAGGCTCCCTGAGGAAGCCACTGAGCTGTGAGGGGGATGGGGACCTTGGGCTGTGGCCACCGCACCAGGCTCTCTCTGTTGGCATCAGCTGTGCTGACAGGTGCTCAGAGGTGTGTTTGCAGGAGGAGGCAGGAGCATACCACCTGCTGATTTGCACCTTGCCTCCACCTGAGAATACCACGGGCTATAGTGCTGCTGAGTCCTTGGGCCCCTGAGAGCACTTCCCAAAGAGTCAGACGTGCCACAGCACGAAGTCCAACAGCTCAGGATTCTGCTTTCCCATCTCAGCAATAAACGCGTCATATAAAATCAGGATTTTTTTTTGTAATTAAGACGCTAAGAAAACCAGCTGGAAATATTCCCTAAAGCATCCTTCCTTGGAGAGCAAATCAGTCTTTCTTCCAGACATGTCAGGGAAGGAATTTTAAAGCCCGCTGTTCTCTTGTGAAGTGCATTTCTAGAAGAGTCGTCTTGGCCATTGGGTCAGGGCGAGGGTCAGTAATGCCATGTTCTGTTTCTGTTTTTTGTTCTGTGCCCATGTGCACGCGTGTGTGCGCGCCTGTGCGTGCTGGTCGCGTGTGTGTGCGTGCCTGTGTGTGCAGCTCAGACAGCCACCCCAGCTCATGCCACGTGGAAGACAAAGTCTGTAAGTGTGGACGGTGTCAGCAGGCAGAGATCTTCATCAGATCTGCCAGCTGTTCATCCACCGGTCCGCGTCACATCTACCAGTACATTTTTTTTTTTTTTTGCCCTTTTTTTCCCCTTCCCTGTGGACTGCTGGTGTGGATGACTAGGGATGCTTTTGGTGGCCACTTGTGGGTACCATGGAACTGCCTGCCATGGCCTGGGCTTCTCCATGGCCCCTCCCTCCCAGCACTCCCTCCCCAGTTACACTCTCGCTCCTGTCTGCACTGCACACTTCCACTGCCACCACCACCACCACCCCCCCCCCCCCCCCCCCCCGCCACACACACACCCCAACAGAATGGCTCCATCTAAACCCAACACTTGGGCAGCATGTCTGCCTTCATGGATCAGCCTTAGGCTTCATCTGCTAAGGCCATTCGAGTCTCAGACTTTTGAGCAACAGCCCTTTGGAAGTAGTTGCGGTCTAGAAGGTGGGCGTCTGGTTTTGCTCCTTGTCAATCTAGGGGTAAAAGTGCCAGAGCCCAGGTAGGGGCTGGGAGGAGGTTCATCCCACCAACAGAGCAGGTGGAGGGGTGTGTGAGCACTTGAGCTTGAGCTCCAGTCACTGCAGCTGCTTCCTGTGCATGGGCTGGGGGAGGGAGGCATGGCAGCGTCTAGGGGCTTGCTTGGAGTTCGCTGTATGCATTGTTCCAAGGCTTTCACTGTCTTTCTACCCTAAGAGAGGAGGAAAAGGGAGCCAGCCCCGGAGGCAGTACGTACATACGTGCCAGCTGGTGACAAGCGGGGATCTGGGTGCAAAAGGCCCTTCCCAAGGCCAGGCATAGTGGAGCCGGGCAGCTCAGATCCACTCCAGGCCATCTGCAGGACCTCCCGCAGGCCGGGGGCTGCTTCCCTGCACTCAGTCTCCACAGACTTGGGGGCTAGAGATTCGCATCCCAGACTTCCGGAAACAAGAACAGACTCAAAGGAACTCTCTGGGGTCTTCTGGAACCCCGACCCCAGACTGTCCCACAGAGGGGAAACTGCTGGCCCTGTGGTGTCAGTGTCTAGTCCCAAGGAAGGTTGTCCTCAAGAAGGACACCTTGAGGGGCTGAAGTGATGGTACAGCTGGAAGGGCAGTTGCCTTGCACGCGGCCAACCCAGGTTCAATCCCAGGCACCCCCTGTGATCCCCTGAGCCCACCAGAAGTGATTCCCAAGCACAGAGCCCTGAGCATCGCCAGATGAGCTTGAGGCTCGCCCAGCTCATGGCCCAGCCCCATCCTAGCACTGTGAGTCGTGCAAACAAACTTCGTCTCACTGTCTTCTCGGTAAATCTTCAAGAATAAGGAATTCTTCCTGCCTTCCACCCTGTTGGCAGAGCCTTTCTGGAGTTTCGGACTCACAGTCTTGGGCACAAGGGGTAGCACCCTCGGAGCTCGCTGAGGCTGAGAGAACAGACCCGAAGAAGGCCCTGCTGGTGTCAGGGCTGCAGGCTAGGGAACACGAGACCGGAAATACTCACAGGGGCTGGAGTGATGATAGCACATTGGGGAGGGTACCTGCCTGGCACACAGGCCAACATGGGTTGGATCCCCAGCATCCCATATGGTCCCCCAAGCACTGCTAGGAGTGATGCCTGAGTGCAGAGCTAGGAGTAACCCCTGAGCATCGCCGGGTGTGATCCTCATAGCAAAAAGACTCAGAACTCAGAAAACCTCTTAAGCCTGATCTGGTTTGCAACTTCCGCATTCGTGCCGCTTGGGAAGGGGTTTGGTACCTGCAGAGAAACAGCAGTTAGATGTTCCTTGGGGCATAGCCATGGGGGCGGAAAGCACTGCCTAAGGAGCCTCTGCAAGAAGGTGGGGAGGGGCTGGAGCGATAGCACAGTGGGCAGGCCGTTTGCCTTGCACGCGGCCAACCCAGGTTCGATTCCCACCATTCCATATGGTCCCCCGAGCACCTCCAGGAGTAATTCCTGAGTGAAGAGCCAGGAGTAACCCCTGTGCATCGCCGGGTGTGATCCAAAAAGCAAATAAAAAATAAAAGAAGGAGGTAGGAAGCATTGCATCCAGGCCTGACTCTCTCTTTCTCCCTCTCTCCCTCTACCTCCCTCTTTCTCCCTCTCTCTCTTTCATTCTCCTCTCCCCCCTCTGTCCCTCTATTCTTTCTCTCTTCTTTCTCTCCCTCCCTATCTCTCTCCCTCTCCCTCCATCTCTTTCTCCCTCTCCCTCTCATTCTTCCTCTCTCTCCCCCTCTCTCCCTCCCACTCATTTTCTCTCTCTCCCTCCTCCTCCTCCTCCTCCTCCTCCTCCTCCTCCTCTTTCTTCCCCCCATTCTCTCTCTCAACAGATTCCCTGGCTCCCACACAGGCCCCTCCCGGAGCAAAGCTGTCCAATGTGATGGACGTCCTGAGCCAGCAGAACAAGTCCACTCTGCCCAGCAAGGCCTCAGCCCCACCACTGCCTCCGCAGCCACCCAGCCGACCCCCCCAGAAGAGACCTGCTCCCGGGTAAGCACCTGCCTCCCACTGCCTGCCCTCAGGGAGCATCCCCAGGGCGGTGCTTCCATCTCTCAGTCTTTCTGAATGAGCATTTGAAAGCTCCCATCATTTCTGTTTCCGTAATGTTTGAAGTCCAGCCTGGCGAAATGAATTTGTTGGGTCCTGGGGGTCTTAGTCATGTATCTGGGCTGAGAGCGAGTACGAGTACAGCGGGTAGGGCTCTTGTCTTGCGTGTGGCAGACCTGACTTCGATCCCCAGCATCCTGCATTGAGCCCTGCAGGAGTGATCCCTGAGTGCGGAACCCTGGGCACTGCCAGGTGTTGTCCAAAGACAAACATAAAATGTTTTTTTTGATCCAGGGCCAGGGTGTGGTGGACAGGGCACTTGCTTTGCACAGGACTGACCCAGGCTCGATCCCTGGCATCCCATATGGCCCCCTAAACCCCACCAGGAGTGATTCCTGAGCACAGAGTCAGGAGTAAGCCCTGAGCACTGGGTGTAAATGCCAGACCAAAACAACAACAGTAACATAGATCCAGGGTTGTGACTTGCACGCCTTGCCTTGCGGAACCCCTCTCCTTCTCTGCCCTGTGCTCAGCACCATGTGTGGCCACAGAGGTCCCCTATCACCAGGCCTGAGCAGCACCTGATCGTCAGACCCATCACTGTGGGCTACTGGGGAGACCCCTCAGCCCCATGTATACGCACAAATAATTTATGCAGAACTCTTTCTTTCAACTTTTAGTTTCAAGGACTTGTTCACAGTGATTGATTGCATTCAATATTGCAACACCCATCCCACCACCATTACACCTTCCCACGACCACCACCCAAGCCTGCCCAAAAGGCAGATGCTAAGCAATTTATTTTTATTACTTGTTACGAATAATTGAAAATGATCAAAAAGGTTTCCTTAGAGGAAAGTGTGTGAAAATTGTTGTATCTCATCTTGGAATTATTAAGCTCCTGTACTAGAGATCATTAACATGTTGTTAGAATTTGAGTCTGGGCTGGAGCGATAGCACAGCAGGTAGGGCGTTTGCCTTGCACGTGGCTGACCCGGGTTCAGATTCCCAGCATCCCATATGGTATCTAAGTACCGCCAGGGGTGATTCCTGAGTGCAGAGCCAGGAGTGACCCCTGTGCATTGCCGGGTTTGACCCAAAAAGCAAAAAAAAAAAAAAAAAAGAATTTGAGTCTTGCGTACCAAGGTATGTGTGTGTATTTATCTACATATTTGTACATATATATATATATATATAAATGAAGATTGGCTGTCTTCAACCTTACACCCCATCAAATGAGGTGTGCTACTCTTGGTTTTGCGGCCACATGCTCCTGGAATACTAAACTTTTCACAGGGTGCTGGACTTGGAGTTAATTTTTTTTTTTTTAACTGAATGGTGATTTGGGGATCTGGAGGCATCTCTGTAGCGTGCTGCTCTCTCCATAGATTAATTTGTGCATCTGGATCATGGCCATTAACGCGCTTAAATGGCACCCAGAGGCCATTCACTTGACCAGTCAGTCCCCAGCTGAAACAAACCTGCCATCTCTCCATCAGCCTCCTCACCTCTCCCTGTCAAAAACTGGGACGCCACAGTTCCCTGCTCCCGCCCTCCCTCCCCACCCCTGCCTTCTGATGTCCCCTGCCCCACCCTGGTACAGCCCTGCCCCTTCAGTGCTCACAGCTGCATGATCCAGCCCTTCAGGATAGAAACCACATCTTTCGCTTCTCAGGAACCTCATTACATTTTTCACGCCGCTACTTTTTTTCCCCATGATAATCCAAATGTGAGATTCCTTTGGCCTGTCCTTGAAATCTGTCCTCTTTTTCTGTGACGCCAGCTAACTGTCCTGACAGCCTACCTCACCCCCACCACTCCCTCCAATCTCAGGAGTTTAGCATGCATCCGTTGACTTCTCACCCCGCATACAGAGTGTCCGTATACTTGCTGGCACAGCACTCTGCAAAACTGTGTCTTTTCCATCTGATTCTACCAAATTGTTCTCCTGCTGGTTGGAAGCAATCCTGACATGCCTTAGACCAGAGCCAAGCCTATGGTTCCACCTAGAGGCCGGGGCTGGAAGTGCAGGTGCGTTTGGTCCTCTGGGTGCCCAGCTGAGCCTTCTGTAGGGGTCCACCCTCTTGCCCCCTTCTCGCTTCCATTTCTGCATTGTTTCCGTACTCATTTTCAGCATCCACCTTCTGGGAGATTTTGAATTTTTGTCTTCCAGTTAATTTTTTTGGCATTTCATTTCCACTTTTACTTTTACTTTCATTTCCACTATCTTACAATTTTCAAGCCCCATCTTTTCATTTCATGAAATCCTTTCCTCTCATCTCAAGACTGTGGGTTTTTGCCGGCTATTGGAAGGCAGTTTCTTATTTTGGGCAACTTTTAAGCACGTTTAATTTTATTCTTGTGTGTGGTGCCAGGGATTGAACTGAGGCGGTTCCCTCATGAGACTTGTGCTCTCTTGGGCACATCTTATAAAGTGCTACTTCACGTGAGGCAATAAAAACTGATCGACAGGGCCGGAGGCTGATGGCATTTGCCTGGCAGGTGACCAACCCTAGTTTAATTACAAGCTTATGGTACCAGCTTACCTGCATATGATCCCGCAAGTATTGCCAGGACTGGTCCCTGAGCACCGCCAGGTGTGGCCCAAACCCCCCCCCCCCCAACCCAACAACAACTAATTGACTCCACAGTGTGTGGTCACTAGATGTGGGTTTTGTTACACAGTAATTTCACTAGGTTTTTCATTGGGGACCCCTGGATGTGGCCCTTTTTTTGATCAGCTCAGGTTCTTTAAGAGCAGTCTTATCGGGCCAGATCCATAGTCCAGTGGGGAGGGCGTTTGCCTTGCATGAGGCTGACCCGGGTTCGATCCCCGACATCCCATGTGGTCCCCTGAGCACTGCCAGGAGTACTTCCTGAGTGCAGAGCCAGGAGTAACCCATGAGCATTGCTGATTGACCCAAAAGGCCAAAAAAAAAAAAAATAGTTTTCTCGACTCACAAGCCTGGGTTTCCTGAGAGCAGGAGCAAAAAACCAAGTTAACCGTAGTCCCTTTGTTCTCTCGGACAGTCACAGTAGCCATGCCCGGCACCCTGTCCAGCTGCTCTCTTCTGCCTTAAGAGCAGAAGCATCTCCTCTCCCATGGGGCTCGGGATTGGGCAGGGATCTGGAGACCCAGAGTGCTACAGACTTGGGCCTGTGCTTGGTGCTGCCGTGTTCCCTGGGAGAGCACTGGAGAGGAGCACTCTGGGGCTTTCCCTGCTGCCTCGGTGAGCCAGGCTGTCCACTGCTTCGCCCTCCAGAGTTCTTTTCTCTCTAGTTCTCTTTGTTCTTTTAATTCTCTGCCTTGGGAGAAAGTGGAAATCTGTATATGTCAGTTGGCTGATAACCAGGAGACTCAGAATGTTTTCGGTTCTTGTCTTCCTGTTCTTCAGGGGGCGTGATAGGGCAAGCAGCTCCCAAACAGTACTCTGGGGGGTCCCGGGACTGCTCCCTTTGCTGCTCTGCCAGACCAGATCATCAGAACGGGACCCCAAGGATGTACACGACAGAACTCTGGGGCATGAATCTGGGTCCTAGTATATGGGCAGTGTCCGCCCCTGACCCCTGACCCCATCCCAGCTTTGACCAGCAGCCCTGGCCTATCACCTGGCTCTGAGCAATCTCCGGCTTGCCAAGGAGGCTGGGGGGTGGGGGACACACACATCACCTGCAGTGGCTGCTTCTCTGAGCCCCTGTGTCAGGGCCCGTGGCCAGCTTCTCTTCCCTGGTGGTCCCCTCAGGTTTGCTCTCTGAATTGTTGATTGTTTGTCCAGGTTGGTGGGTGTGGGGGGTGGGGGTGGGCGGTTGGTGTACCTAGTGGTGCTTAGATGACTCCTGGCTCGCTGCCAAGGTGTGCAGGGGTCTCTCTTGACAGTTCTCAGAGGGTAGTGCCGCGCTGGGACAGAGTCTGGGGCTTCTGGGTTTGCATGCAGCCAGGGCTCCGGCCCTTCCAGTCCTCTCATGGACCTCACGATTTGCTGGTGGTTAAGAATGTTTTAGGTCACTGCTGACACCCAGGCAAGCCAGCCGGGGCCAGGAGCTTTTCTGCCTTCACTGAGCACCCCTTCCCCCCCCAACCCTTTCAGCCAGGCGCCAGCACTGCATGGGTTCATGTCACCAGCCCTGCTGACTAGCTCTTTACTGTGTCCACCTGGTCCCCTGAGGACACGCTATCCCAGAGGCTCCCAGACGAGGGCTGAGCTGCACAGGTTACAGGCAGCAGGGGTTTGGGGGGATGGGTACAGAAGCAAGAAGCAAGGCTGACACTGACATTGGTGTCTGGGCCGTTCCTGGCAGGGCCAGCAAGGCCCCTGGGACCTTGTCAGCCCCTGTTCTCGTGCACGAAGATACTGGAGCACTGGAGGTAGAGCTGCTGGCCAGGGCCACCCTAGAGCCCAGAGATTCCTAGACTGGTTTGGTCCACCACCCCCTTTCCAGAAAAATATTCATGCTTCCCACCTCAGAAATAAGTCACTTTTCAGGGAAGAAATGAAAAGTGCAACTCTACACACACACACACACACACACACACACACACACACACACACACACACACCCTCTGTGCACCCAGATGCACTTAAGACCATCTCCACTAGCCCTGAAGGGTTCCATCTCCCTCCCCCCAGGGGAGGGAGGCAGTGGCATCCCCCAGGAGTGACACCCAGTGGGAGTCGCTGGGCCCTGGCCTTGGGCTCAGGGAACTTGGACCTCGCACTGTCCAGGGCCCGTCTTCCTCTTCTCAGGCAGCAGTGCAGATGTCCAGTACATTTGGTGGGTGGCGAGTAGCCGCTGGCATGTTGCTGGGGGCCCACGTGGTGCTGGACTCAGACTGAGGGTCAGCGCGTGCAGAGGGTATGCTGGTCCCCTGGCTGCCCTCCTCACTTCACCTCTTTCCCTCTGGTCTCTTCTTTTTTTTTTTTTTCTGTTTGTGTCACACCTCAGGAATTACCTGGCGTTGCTCGCGGGACCATATGGGATGCTGGGAATTGAACCCAAGTTGGCCGTGTGCAAGGCAGATGCCCTACCCGCTGTGCTTTCGCTCCAGCCCCCACCAGTCTCTGCTTACAAAGGGCAAGCGGGAGGCGGCTGTGGGCATTTCAGCCTCTCCCGCTCACTCCTTTCCCCCTTCTTTTCAGGGCCGACAAGTCCACCCCGCTGATCAGCAAAGGCCAGCCCAGGGGACCTGGTAATGCTCAGTTTGGGACTGGGGTTGGTTTCTGCTGGGGCACAGCTGGGGCCATCAGCGGCTGTGGTCAGCCCCGTGTCCAGGCCCTACTGCCACCGTGCCCTGCACAGAACACAGAACACTAACCCCTGGGAGGCTGCCTCACCCTACACCCCGACTCCCCACCCCTGTCCTGACATGGGGCAAGTTGGCCCTTGTGTGGATGGAGAAGGGGGTGACCATGTCCCACTCTCCCCGCCGGTTTACCCTCTATGGAAGCCCGGAGGTCCTCGGGCCCTTTAAGGAGACCAGGAAATCTCAGGATCTGCCTCGTGGGCATGGGCCCAGCTCTCGGTTGTTCAGTCCCACAGTGGTGACTGAGAGTGCTGGTTTGTTTTGTCCTGACAGCAGTTGATCTCTGTGGAACAGACACTGCGGGTCCCCTGTCCAGCACGGTGGCAGTGCAGCCCCCGGCACCCATGCCCCGGAAGTCACAGACGGTAAGGGGACCGCCCTGGGGCACTGGGAGGAAGCAGGTCTGGGTGCCTGGTGACTTGGGTCGGGATGGGAGCCCATGCCCATCAGCCAGCAGGCTCAGTCTGGTCCCCAGCCCCACATTGCTCAGAGCCAACTCCTCCCTGGCCTGGCCTGACACTCCTCCTCCCTCTTCTCCAGCCACCTAGTCCTGCCCTGCGCTCCACTGACCACGCATCTCTGGATGCCTGTGGACAAGCAGGCAGAGACCGAGCCCATGGACCCCAGGGGTCCCCATCGTTCTGACCCTGCGCCCTCCCCCCACCCTTTCCCGCCAGACTAAGCTGAAGCCCAAGCGGGTGAAAGCCCTGTACAATTGCGTGGCTGACAACCCGGACGAGCTGACCTTCTCGGAGGGGGACGTGATCATCGTGGATGGGGAAGAGGACCAGGAGTGGTGGGTGAGTCGGGGCTGCGGTGGTGGGGCTGCGTCTCAGACCAGCTTGGGGATTTCTGGAGGAGCGGAGCAGACCTCTGCCCCGACTGAGAGGTTTGGGGGCGTCAGCTCTCCCACATACCCATGTGACTCGGCCTGGGCGCTCCTGTCGCCTGGCCCCTGACCAGGTGCAGTGTGCCCCTAATCCACACCACCTGTGTACACCTGTTGGAGGGGGTTCCTCCCTCAGCCCTGCGGGCCACCTGGGTGACAGCTTCCAGGGCCCTCCTCCCTGAGGGCCCTGCATCTGAGTTTCTGGGCAGCGCTGTTCCTCCCAGTGCCATTTGGTGGGACTGAGTGTGGAGAGAGCAGAGCCAGGTGGCAGAGCCCCCGGTGTTAACTGAGAAGATCTGTGGTAGCTAGGGGGCGGGGGTGGGGGCGATGACCCTCAGAGTCCAGTTAGAGTCTGTGTCATCTTCGTTTTGTTTTGGTTGTTTGGTTTGGAGGCCACACCTGGTGGTACTCAGGGGTCACTCCTGGCTCTGTGCTCAGGGATCACTCCTGGCGGTGTCCAGGTGACCTTCTGAGATACCAGGGATTGAACCCTGCGAGCCACATGCAAGGCAAGTGCCCTCCCCGCCGTACTATCGCTCCAGCCCCAGAGTCTGCACCATCTGCCAAGGCCCCTCATCTGTGGAAGGGAAGGCAGCCTGAGGGGTGGGGGATTGGCAGAAAGCCTGATGAGAGCTTCTCTTTGAAAATCAAGCTGGTGGGGCTGGAGCTATAGCACAGCGGGTAGGGCGTTTGCCTTGCACGCGGCCGACCCAGGTTTGATTCCCAGCATCCCATATGGTCCCCTGAGCACCACCAGGGGTAATTCCTGAGTGCATGAGCCAGGAGTAACCCCTGTGCATCGCCGGGTGTAACCCAAAAAGAAAAAAAAAGAAAGAAAGAAAATCAAGCTGGGCTGTGAGGGTGGGGTGCATACCTGCTGCACACGCAACCGCAGCTTCCATCCCCAGCTCTGATGCTCCCTGCACCATTGACCCAGACAGCTGCATGACGACGCTGAGGAAGCCTGAGCACCTCGCCCTGGGCCTGGTACTGCAGGCCATGAATTGCAACAAGTGCCCCTGTTCCCCACGTGCCACTGGAGAGGCCCCGCAAAATAAAACCTAAGCATCGGAGGCCAGAGAGATCACGCAGCAGGGAGGGTGCATGCCTCGCATGCATCTGACCCAGGTTCAATCCCCAGCATCCCATAGGGTCCCCTGAGACCTTCCAGAAGTGATCCCTGAGCACAGAGTCAAAAGTAAGCCCTGAGCACCACCAGGTGTGGTCTGAAAACGAAAACTCAATGTACAAGAGGGGTGTACAAGAGGGGTATGTGCTGTTCTGAGCACATGCACACGGATGTACACACACATACGTGTATATACACATACATGTATAGGCATACGCACAGAGCAGCTGGCAGTCTGGCCCACAATGGGCACAGAGGCGTGGCTCTGTCACCTGAACTCAGAGATGGTGGTGAGGTCGTCAGGAGAAGGGCTGGTGGTTCCTTCCTGGTGGTCATTTTGGGGTCAGACCCTGGTGCTGAGGAGGTTAACTACTTCCTGGTTAGCATTTCAGCGCCCGCACCCCCATCCCCACCCCAGCTGCAAACGGGGACAGAACTGGGGGCCTCACACAGGCAGTACCTGCCCATGTCCCCAGCCTCGAAGAAGCATTCAGTGCCACCATGAGTGGGGGTATCCTAACAGAGTGCCGCCCACAGGTCAGCGGTCCATCTTCCCCTTCAGAGACCCCTGGCATCTCCTCATCCTTGCAGCTGTGCCTCTGGAGGGGCTGGCTTCCAGATCTCGGTCTCATCTCCCTGCAAGTCAGCAGCATCTGATAAGGGCCCCTCTGCCTCCAGTGGGTGGGTGCTCCCGCTCGGCCCCTCAGGCCTGGGTGGGCGCTCCTGCCACGTGGTCCCTGCAGCAGCAACGAGCACCCAGCCTGCAGCATACGTGCGAGGACCAGCACTGCCTCCCCTGGGCCCTTACAAGGTGGGCAGCAGCCCCACCACGTAGAAGGCAGTGGCTCTGGTGCCCGTGGCCAAGTACAAAGAAACGCAAAGCCGTTCCTTCATCACACGCCACCTGTGGCCGTGCCACAGCCCTCCACTTAATGTTGGGCAGTTCTCCTTTCAATTCCTTTTTCACTTAACCTACATAACTGCCATCATTAGTGTCTGTGCTCAATGTATAATTCACAGCGTTTTCCTCCAGTCTGACAAAAATAGGACTAAGCCATGTTGGCCATTCTCTTTGACTTCCCAGCTCACAAGCTTCTGGCTCAATTTCCTCTTTAATAAAAATACATTTGAGGGGCTGCAGCGATAGGGTAGGGTGTTTGCCTTGCACGCAGCCGACCCAGGTTCGATTCCCAGCATCCCATATGGTCCCCCGAGCACCGCCAGGAGTGATTCCTGAGTGCATGAGCCAGGAGGAACCCCTGTGCATTGCTGAGTGGTGACCCAAAAAGCAAAAAAAAAAAAAAAAATGGGGGGACAATGGTTATAGCCTCTGGGTCTCAGCACCTCTGAGCAAGCTTCCGACGTCCCTACATTCTCAAAGGCAATGAGTGCATGTGGAAATAGGAAAGGGAAAGACTTGCTTCACTAACATAACTGTTTCTTCCAAGAGATTCTTCTCCACAATCATTTTATCCCTTCCGATGCTAGCATGCCCTTCGAAGCATTTAGGACCAGAGCTTTGTATACTAACAGCCAAATTTTTTCTTCATTTCAGATCGGCCATCTAGATGGAGACCCCAGTCGTAAAGGAGCATTTCCTGTATCATTTGTGCACTTTATTGCTGACTAAGTTGTTCCTGAACAAAACACTTCTACTGATAATTATGTTCCTGTATCACTCTTGGTACTGAAATTCCTGCCAGATTCTGCCCCGTTTCGTGAGCTATTATTGTACGGCGGCCCCCTTTCTCTAATGCCACTATGGTGTTTTAAAAACCTCAAAGGCAATTTAGATATAAATGACTTGTTTTTATAATTTGTGGTTTTCATGAGACATTGCTATTTTTTTTTTAAAGGAAAAATTGGCTTTCCTGAGAGGTGAACTGAAAAAATTTATTTTTACTATAATCTCAAGATCCTGAATCTGTAGAACTAGCTGAACCAGAAATCAAATTTTGAGTTTGGAAATAAATCCATCCTGCTTTCTTTGGTGCAGTGCTAGAGGCATGGCCTTTAGCACTGTTATTTCAGGAAGTCAATAAGCCGTTCTTTTAGGTATCTATAGCCATAGTGGAGAAAACTCTGGCCTTTTCTAGGTAAGATGCTACAACTCTGGCCTTTTCTAGGTAAGATGCTACCAACTCACCTTTTTAATTTTTTAAAAAAAATTTTTTTTGGCTCTTTGGGTCATACCCGGTGATACTCCGGGGTTACTCCTGACTGCACTCAGGAATTACTCCTGGTGGTGCTTGGTGGACCCTATGGGATGCCGGGGACCAAAACCAGGTGGTTAATCACTCCGGCCCCACCTTTAAAAAAATTTTCTTTTTTAATGTTTTTAAAGTTTTCTTTGAAATCTACCCAATATTTATTTGAAGAACTTGGAAATTCACACATCAGCCTCCGTCCCTCCCGCCTGGTCGTGAGGTTGCTGCCCTCGTTGTATCCTGCATGTGTGTGAACAGTGGTGAACATCCTTCTCCACAGCGCTCCCCCACGTGTGTGTGATGGCCTCACACGGTCACGGCACTGACCTCAGCTCCAGGTTCTAGGAAACTGCATCTTGTGAATTCAGTTAGAAAACTAAGGTGGACGGATTGCAAAAACAGAGCCTTAGTTTACATGCTTTAGGTATTTTGGACTTTGCCTTCTTGACCTTCATCAGTCATCCAGGAAATAACCACAAAGAGAACCCCGTGGCACCTACCACTTCCCACACTAGCTGTTTCCCGTTGAGTGTACCACTGCCTGCCCTTTCGAGCTCATGAGAATGTTTACTCCGTTTAGTGTCTTGTATCTATAGAACATGCCAACAGGAATGGTAGTCACACTGTCTCGGAATTTAAACTGTCCCCTGTTTGTCATCAAGCACATATCAGAAATCTGTAGGTCCCAGGTAATAAAATACTCCTTCCCATCCCAGTTTCACTATTAAAGCCCCATCATATCATTCTTAAGCCTAAGCTACTGGGGTTTGGGGGGTTAGATTGTATATGATAAAAATCAAAATTTCATTAGTTTAATGAACTTGACTGTCATATCTCTAGTAATTGTGAGCATAAGATTCATTGTAGGAATATTGGAAATATTGGCACTCTTTGAGATTAGTTAGGCATACAATATAATGCCCACTTGAATTTTTACTGAAAGCAAAGGAATAAATTTAAATCTAGGCTTGGAAAGTGAGGCAACGGTGCTTTTATTGCGTTTATTATGATGGTACATTTGATTGAAGCAGCCTGTCTTTATTATGCAACCCTTGTAATCTTCTTTTAAAATTTTAATTGCATTGTATTTTTCGTTGCTAGTATGAAAGCAGACAGAACAAACTGGAATGTTTTATGATGTCATGTGGCAATTGCATTTTGCCTTTCAAAGTTTTGTGTAAAAATGTGTTAGGTCTGTAATTAGCTTTCTTTTTTAAAAGCACTACATCTATTTTCACTAATTATTGATTTTCGTTGTTTGAACCCTCTATTTAGTTAGTTCTCATAGACTTAAGAAGATAAACAGATGTATTTTGCACAGTGCCCATTATGTCTAACACAATTCTCATGCATCTGTATCTTATAATCTGCCTTTGGATTACTTGGTGCCAGCTATCTAAGGAATTCAAGTTAATACATATCAACATTTGAACACCAGTCCCATACGAATCTATCAGGTTCACTGGTACAGAAATATTTAGGAATATTTTTCCAGTATACAATTTGGTGGTGCTATTGTGCAGTAATTAACATTACTTCTGCCAGAAGAGAAATTATATTAACTTCCCTACTAACATCTTTTCCTAGTTATTTACTCTTCGCAATTTTTTTTTAAAAAGCAACTGAAAGGAAAGCATTGTAGATAATCTATTTATATTTAAAGTTTATGTTCCATGAACTTAGCTGCAGGATTCTGGCATTTTGCATGCCATTTTCCATCAGACCCGATTCCTCAGGATGGCAACTCAGAAATATGTGCACAGATTAAGTTGCTCTGATCTGTTAAGGGGTGGACCATGTCACATACAGTCTGGAATGCTATTTGAGATGTATGATATTCAATTCATTCACTTGATTACTTTGGTCTAGTTGCAGCGCAACTGTATATATTGTATAACCTAAATCAATTCTTATTTTCATTGTCCTTAATGCAGTGATTTATAATTAGAGCATGTTTAAGTTTACTCTTCTTGTTACCTAGTCATTTGACTGGAAAAAATAAAATACTTTTAAATGGACATGGTGTTTCTAATGTTTTCAAGTGTAATTAGCTTTTATGTTTCCATCTTTAGAGCATTAGGTTAAAATGATAGTTTAAGGGGAAGCTAGAGCACGTGGCTGACCTGGATGTGATTCCCAGCATCCCATATGGTCCTCGAACACCACCAGGAATGATTCCTGAGTGCAAAGCCAGGAGTAAACCCTGAGCATCACCAGGTGTGGGCCTTAAACAAAATAATCTTTTAAAAAACACATTTGAGGGACTGGAGAGATAGCACAGCGGGTAGGGCATTTGCCTTGCACATGGCCGACCCGGGTTCGATTCCCAGCATCCCATATGATCCCCTGAGCACCACCAGGAGTAACTTCTGAGTGCAGAGCCAGGATTAACCCCTATGTGTCGCTGGGTGTGACCCAAAAAGCAAAAAAAAAAAAAAAAAAAACCACTTGAGTGCTGTCCATGAGACTTTAAATTCTAATATTCTTTAAATGAGACTCTAAAGGTTTGTTTTTGTGTGTTTGTTTTGTTTGGGGGCCACATCCAGGGATGCTGAGGGCTTACTCCTGGCTCTGTGCTCAGGGATCACTCCTGGCAGTACTCAAGGGACCATATGTGGTGCTGGGGGATTGAACCTGGGCAGTCGCGTGCAAGGAAAAGCCCCCTCCTCACTGTACTGTCACTCGGTCTCTATAGGTTTTCCTAACTCTGAGATTAAAAAAAAAAATACTGTGGTTTGCTTCATGTTATCCTGAACATACACTTAAAAATATACATTTTTGTGTCTTGAATGGTCAGTTTCTGGCCATCATGACCCAGGTTGCCAGGCCAGTCCTCTCCCTGACCTCAGCTCTCAGTGACACCATGTTATTGCAGACCGCAGCTGAACTGCTAATACCAGTCCTCAGTCCTCGGTGCTCCTTGCCCACTGCACGCGTGTTTAGGGAGACAGTAAGGTACTGACTGAACTTGTCTATCAAAGTGACAAGTGAGCTTGGTCTTTCCAGTGCCAGAGATTGAGCGTTTACTCATTGCTATTAAGACACATTTTAATAGAAAAGCAAATATCGGTATGTCATACATTGGATTTTCTTCTGAAAAAATTCTAGAGCAAGGTATTGCTTTGTATTTCCACAATGGTTCAATGGTTCGACGCTGCAGATTGGAAACAGTTCAGCTTTCACAAGAGGCTGACTTCCACGTGACTGCAGAATTCAAGATTTGTCAGATGTCAAGACAGAGTCAAAAGCAGTGGATAAAACTTTGCAGATTGCTTGTGCTTGTTCCTGCATTAAGTGAAAAGATACATCAGAAATCTCTTCTGGAACTTAAGTGATGAACAAAGATAACTCTGATCCTCTTTTTTTTTAATTTATGTATTATTTGTTTGTTTCTGGGCCACACCAAGTGGCACTCAGGGCTTACTCCTAGCTTTGTGTTCAGGAATCAATACTGGTGGGGCTCAGGGGGCCAGAGCAGGTGCCAGGGATCGAACCTGGGTCAATCACGTGCAAGGCAAGTGCCCTACCCTCTAAACTGATCTCCAGCCCCTAACTCTGGTCTTCTTAACACTTGTCCTACAACTGCACACCAGCAGCTTCTGGAAAGCCTGTGTACACCACCGCCTTGATTAACACTCATAGTCCACGCCTCCCTCCTCAGGCTCCTTGAAGACACGTGTGCGGTAATGTAGGGCCAGCAGCCCTTAGGGAAGGCCACCAGGACAAAGGTCAACTGTGCAGAAGGGCGGGGGGGGGGGGGTGCTCCATTCGAGGAGGACACGCCACTTTCCTCACCTGCTCTGCATCTGCTTGGCTGCTCCAGCAGTTCACAGCCTGCAGGTGAGTCTGGACAGCTGCCGGACCTAGGGTCTGGCGCCATTCGCTCCACTTGCTGCTGGACTGCTAGTGGAAGCCTCTCCCCTTGGAAATGACCGGAAACCCTCTCTGGCTCTACCAGTTTGACTCGGTGAATAAGAGGCGAAGCAACTCACCAGGCTGTGGCACTGATAAACCCAGAGGCTACATTCTTCGTTGCTCGCATCTGTGGTCTTGAGAGCCAGTAAGCTCTTTCCTGCCCCGAGACCATCGTCGTAACACACCATCCGGATGATCAGATACAGGGCGTGCCTGTGTAGGACATCCTGCAGAAGTTGGGGGGTGAGGGGTAGGAGAGAGAAAGGCCACGGCTGTGTTTCATGTTTCTCAGTTCTCAGAACACATTCTCCTGGATAGAATTAACTGTGAGGCTTTCAACCCCGCCTGTGTGTGGATCTGGCAGAAAACATACACAGGCGTTTCACCCAAAGGAACGTTCCAGCATGAACAGCGTCAAGTAGGGAGCAATCTGCCTTCAGGATTAGACCGTCTGTACCCTGCAGAGACAGGGCCCTCCTGATGTAAAAGAAGGGCATAAGATCTAAATTCATGATTTTTTTTTCTTTTTCATTATTTTCTTTTGGGTCACACCCAGAGATGCTCAGGGGTTACTCCTGGCTCTGCACTCAGGAACTACTCCTGGTGATGCTTGGGGGACCCAATGGGATGCCGGGGATTGAACCTGGGTTGGCCGCATGCAAGGCAAACGCCCTGCCCGCTGTACTACTGCTCCGGCCCCTCACAGTCTTTCTTTGCCCAGCTGCTGAGCTGACACTGCGTGACTTGGTGTGGGGCTCTAACTTGGAAATGCGTTAGGGGACAGTAATGGGGGTGTAGGCTTGGGCACCACCACACTGAAGGACAGAAGGAACATCCTATTCGCTTCCCCTAAGTAATAAGTGACTATAGGACAGAGAGGTAGGTGCTTGCCTTGTCCTCGGCCAAACCGAGGTTTCAACCTCGGTGCCCCATATGGTCCCTGAGCATGACCAGGTGTGATCCAAAAACCAAAAACTAAAATGTAACATTATTAAAAAATAATATCAATTTAATTAATTAATTTAAATTTAATTTAAATTAAAAAATAAAAAAGAGTATCCTGCCTGCACAGCAGAGCCTGGCAAGCTACCCATGGCATACTCGATATGCCAAAAACAGCAATAATGATGGTCCTCATTCCCCTAACCCTGAAAGAGCCATCAGACTACACTAGCACGTGACAGGGATGAATGGAGATGTTATTGGCACCCGCTCGAGCAAATCGATGAATAACAGGGTGACAGTGATAGTGATTTAAAAAAAAAATCTTACTGTTGGGACCAGTCACCTGGAAAAACTTAACAAGAATAGACTTGACAAGAGGTAGGCCCTTCTTAGCCTGAACTCCCCAACATCTAAGATCTCACTTCCTAAATCACAGCAGCATTAGTAACAATAAATTTTAAAAAGAAAAATAAATAAACCTTGCTTCCTAAGCTGGGGGTTGTGGCCCACATGGCCTCACTGAATGTGTGTGTATGTGGCGGGTGGGGGGGGGGGGGGCGTAATAAACACACACAAACACACACACACACACACACACACACACACTTTAAAATACATTTTAAATTTCTTGAGGCCAGAGCAATAGAGCAATAGCACAGCAGGTGGGGTGCTTACCTTGCACACAGCTAATGTAGATTCAATCCCCAACCCATATGTTACCCTAAGGCCTCCAGGAGTGATCCCTGAGCGCAGTCAGGAATAAGCCCTGAGTACCATCAGGTGTGGCACAAAAAAAAAACAACATTTTTTATGCTTTATTACATGTTTGGCTTTTACACCTTTTTTATATACCTATAAAAAAAGGGCTATGAAAATAGTCACGGGGGCTATGAAAAAATTATTGGGTAAAAAAGGTCTCAAATGGAAAGAATTTAAAATGTCCTGATCTAAAACACATTCTCCCCCTTCAATTACTTACATACTGATCTGATGTTGATACTTTTATGCCGTACTTGGAAACTCCCATGATAAATTCTTCCTCCAAAGGAACAAAAGGTAACTTTCCATCTTGCTTTAAAGTAAAAGTAAAATTACATGATACACATTAAAAATACATTGTAATCAAAGGCAATTTTAGTACCTAGCCATCAACAAAACCAAACTCTTCAAGCATTATGGAGTAAACAATAACCCAGCAAGAATTTCCCTCCAGAGACCAGAGGGAAAGGTTTCCTACATGATACTGTTTTGTTTAACAATTCACGCATCTATGCAAAAGTCCAACGTTCAAATGCATGCTCTTCGTGTGTAATATTCTACCTCTCAATCTTGATGTTATTGCAAATTATAAACTCTCTGACCTTAAGGTGAAATGTTAACATTAGAAAAATGCTGGTCTGGGGCTAGAGCAATAGCACAGTGGGTAGGGCGTTTGCCTTGCACGCGGCTGACCAGGGTTCAATTCTCAGCATCCCAAATGATCCCCTGAGCACCGCCAGGGGTAATTTCTAAGTGAGTGCAGAGCCAGGAGTAACCCCTGTGCATCACCAGATGTGACCCAGAAAGAAAAAAAAAAAGCTGGTCTTTTAAGTGCTGAAAGCTTATGGTTATATCAACACATAACACTGCACAGGACTCACTTTATCTCAGGATTTAGCTAACCTGAGTTGGTCCCATGCTCCAGGAAACAGGCCGCCTAAACTTCTCTCTAAGTACCCTTGTCCTAATTACACCAGAGCTACTACCATTAACACTCCCCCAGGGCAGGTCCCCCCGCAACCCTACCCAAGATGGGGTGCTCACCCACTCTAGGATACCTGTTCAGGGTTTCAAGCCAGAGAACAGTGCGTGGCTCTTAAAATAACAGTTTGAGTTATTCAGAAAGAAAACAATATCTGGTGGCATCTTTGCCAGATCACATGCAGTTTGTCGCCCCAGCCAGGACACCACCTACTTTGCCTCTAAGTTAAAGGAAGACACTGTTGGCAATGTCAAGCTGATGCTTCCCCCTGAGTACTTTTGTGGCATTTCTTGCCTCTGGGGATGAAGGTGAGTGATCCCTGTTCATCCGCTCCATTCTCGGGGCCTCGGAATGCTGCCGTGCCCTCTTGCCAAGTCAATACTCACGGGAGATTGAACGCAATGACTATTTTTCATTCTTAATGATTTTTTTTCCTAGACCAGTACCTATTTTTGAAAGCTGCCTCCAGGTATGAGTAAGATGCCGCCAACAGCACTGTGAGTGCGGCTGTCGAGCGCTGAAATCAGTTCGGGGAGGATGGAGGGCCTTGGCGCACATGGACTGGCTCCTAATTTCAACAAGTAAGTCAGCCTCAGAAGCGAAAAACAACTGGAGGAAACCAAGGAGGCGGCTTAAAGGACTAAAGCCTGGGCTTTGCACACAAGAGGCCCAGACTTGGTCCCTGGTACCACAAAATCCCTGGAGCACCTCCAGGAGCTCCCCCTGCAACCTGCTGAGAGTAGCCCCCTAAGCACTGCTGGGTGTGACCCGCAAACCTACTCCCCAAGATTTTTCATTATTTTTTTAAAGTAACAGGCCAGAAGGGATAGTAGAGCAGGTAGGGCTCTTGCCTTGAATGTGGCTGACCTAGGTTTGATTCCTGGCACTGCATATGGTGCCCCAAGTGCTGGCAGGAATGATTCCTGGTCACAGAGCCAGGAGTACAGTCTGAGCACAAACAAACAAACAAAAAAAAAAACCAGAGGGAGTTAACTGTCCTGATGAACCAGGCTCGGGCACTGCATGAACAGTGATGGCACCTGGCTTCAGATGGGGCAGCAGGAAAATCCCACCGAGCAAAGGATTTTCTCCAAGGCTGGAAGTTTATTTGCTGGACTCAAAAAAACTGCACTTCTTTTTTTCATTTTGTTTTTACCTGGGCAACATCTATGTAATTGATCAGGTCCAGAGGTCCTTCAAGACTTTCTCCCTCAGACAGTCTCAGTTTCTCAATGGCACCAACATACTTGATTCGAAATTCTGCACAGGTATCTGATGTATTGTTGCTTTGTCCTACAGGTGAAAGGAAATTACGACAGTAAGACATAAAAAAATAATAATAATCAATACTATTGCAGAGTATTCTCAATCCCTTCCCAAATCAAAACAAATTGTCATCAGAACTCAACCTCTAATGAGAAAAAAACTGCTGCAAAATGTTTTGGTGTGATAGGAAAGAACTGAGAATTTCATTAACCTTTTCCCCTGCAATCCGTTGAATGTGTAAAGATCTCCTTAGGGGGCTGGGAATATAGCTCGGTGGTAGAGCTCATGCGAGATTGAGACCTGGGGTTAATCCACATCATCTGCCTCCCAAAACCTCTCCCATCAGAATGTGTTATTAATATCCTTCATTAAAAAACTGTATTAACTAGATAATGACTGAGGACCTTTATAGTACATGATGACATTTAATCACTTAAATGTCCTGATGCAAAACAATTGGTCTACCTCTACCAGTCAGAAAGTGAAGGTAATTTTTTTTTTATTGTAGATGGAAGCTAGACAGGAAGTCCCTTAACAGTACTGATAGCGTTACGCAGATGAACTTGATATCCAATACAGAATGCCCAAAAAGTATCCATGATTCAATAATGAAGATGCTGACATTTGAAATATCTTAAAGGCATCTGGAAGTAAAGATGGCATAATTCTTTTGTATCGTGTGGTTCTTCTCTTCACTTCCCTGCGTTGTACAGATGGACTAGTCTGATCTTGAGGGGAAATGTGGAAGAATTTTAAACAAAAACAAATGAACCTGGGCTTGGGAGATGGTTCAAAGGGCTGGAGTGTAGGAGGCCCAATTTCGATCTTTGGCTCCACACTGTCCCCTGGAGCACCTTGCTGGAGTGGCCCTTGAGGATGGCCCCCAAACAACAATAAATAAGAAAATGCATATAGGGGCTGGGGCAATGATACAGCAGGATCCTGCAGGTGACCTAGGTTCAATCCCCTGCACATGTGGCCACTCAAGTCCCACCAGGAAAGATCCATAAGCACAGAAACATGAGTAAGCCTTGAGCACTGAACACCCAAACCCACACACACCCCCCCAAAAAGGGGGGTGAGGGGAAGGGGAAAAAGTGAATGTAACATGTTATATTTCCAACTGGACCTGAGCTAATTAGGTGAGTCAGAGTCATCTTTCGATTTCTAACAAAGCTACTCACTCCAGTCCGCTACATATGTTTTCTAGCATATGAGACAGGTGCTATCCTTCCTGACCAATTGCTTCTGATGTTTAAAAACCAAGTATCTTGGGACCGGAGAGACAATTCAGCTGGTAAAGTGTTTGCCTTGTTTGTATCTGACCCGGATTTGATCCTGGCATCCCATATGGTCACTGAGCCTGCCAGGAGTGATCCCTGACAGCAGAGCCAGGAGTAAGCCTTGGTGGACCACCGGGAGTGGCACAAAAACTTCCAAAATAAGTAAAACAAAATCTCTGGGTGGACAGCTGCTCAGTCCTTTTAATCAGCAAGACATTTGTCCTGTGCCCCATAAACAATGCAGTTCCAGGGCCAGAGTGACAGTAGAGTGGGTTGGGCATTTGCCTTGCACATGGACAACCTGGGTTCGAGCCCCTGCATACCAAATGGTTCCCCAAGCACCACCAGGTGCAATTTCTGAGTGCAGAACCAGGAGTAACCTCTGAGTGAGTATCACCAGGTGTGACACAAAAAAGCAAAAAAAAAAAAAAAAATTTTAAAAAGTAGTTCCAATGTAATTCACCCCATGTCACACCATTCCTTCAAAGGTGTCTGGAAAATTCTAAATAGTTGCCACAATGTTTTCATTTGTTTTAGTTTGTTTTGTTTGTTTTTTCCCTCTAAAGTCCCTTAAGAGCAGTTTGCCCACCTCCCCTCAACAGATCTCCAGCCATAGGACTTGGGACCATTTCTCTACTCACATCAAAATGGCAGAGCAGAGAAAGTCTTAAATCTGCAGGCACTCCCTGGGCTGCTGAAGTGACCATGGCCACTTAACGTAGACAGTACGTGTCCCCAAACCCTGTGTACCTGAGCTCTTGGTGGAATCAGTATCAAGGCTGGCCACAGTGCTGGAGCGAGAAAGTCCCCCGAGGCTAGAATCTACAGACTGAGAGACAAGAGACAAACAGGGAAGCACAGCTAGAAGCACCGTTCTCTCTTGCTCTTGTCAGTTTAGTTTACTACAGTTGAGCTGACACACAAGATCACATCAATACATCAACTATTCAGGCAGAAAGACCGTGACTGCTTTTTTCCGAAAGAAATATTCTCTGGCAAGCTTCGGAAAACAACCCCACTGCTCTTTTTCGTATGCTGGATCATTGTGGGGTCAACATCCCCAGCTTCCCTCAAAGCTGTTCTACTACCTCCATCTCCTTACAAGATTACAGGTGAACGTCCACAGCTTATTTTCATTTTGTTTCCTCCAAACCCTCAAAGAACTCTGCAGGGGGCTAGAGAAACAGGACAGTAGGCAAGGCTCTTCTCTTACATGCAGCAGCAGAAGTGGGCGTGGGCGGCTCAGGGCTGCAGAGGGAGCTCAAAGGGCTGAGCGCAGAGGAAGGCACTGTTAGAGCCCCAGCACGCTGTGGTGCCACCAGGAACAACCTCAGATGTGGCCCCAAACACCCTCCCTCCCTCTCTTCCCTACCTCCACCCCCGCAAACAAAAAGGTCCAGAGAGCTCACCAGGGCAGAAGACAATAAAAGGACTCTTTAGGGATGGGAGTGGTAACAGAGCAGGTAGGGCATTTGCCTGCCTAGGTGAACCTCGATTCGCTTCTCAGCATCCCATATGGTGCCCTGAGCCTGCAGAGGTAATCCCTAAGTACACAGCCAGGACTAATTCCTGAGTATTGCCAGGTGTGGCCCAAAAATAAGCAAAAGACTCAGTGAAAATGTCCATTAGACTCTAAGGTCCCTTCAAATTCATAAGTCCTATGTCATCAGAATTCTAATCATAGCATTTGATCATGGTCCTTAATCTGTGAAGTAAGCAGAATTTTCATCACACACACACACACACACACACACACACACACACGCACGCACGCATGCACGCACGCCCCAAATTATAGAATTTGAGAGGCGAAGCCCTTTAATTGCTTGCAATTCTTATCATGTCAGAAAATTTAAAAAATCAGTGTTCCGGGGCTGGAGTGATAGCACAGCAGGTAGGGCGTTTGCCTTGCACGCGGCCAACCCGGGTTCGATTCCTAGCATCCCATATGGTCCCCTGGGCACCGCCAGGAGTAATTCCTGAGTGCAGAACCAGAAGTAACGAGCATCGCAGGGTGTGACCCAAAAAGCAAAATAATAATAATAATAATAATAATAATAATCAGTGTTCCATGTGACCATTCATAGGCTGAGTCCTCAATCTAGCATAATGGATTTAAGAACTCCAGAAATATCGACTGAAACAAAATAAAATTCAAATCAAGCACAGTATCTGTTCTCTACTGCCCCACCACCCAAAAACCCCCAATATCAAAAACATAGTTTGAAGACCATGGGCAGCACTGCAGGGTTAATATCTGTTAAGTAGCACCAGAAGAAACAAAATAGACAACTGCATCAAGATTCCGTTCCTAATCCCATTCCCCCTACCTTGCTCTTCGTACTGATTTCACTACTTTGGGAACTGCTACTACTGTGTCGCTTTTTGCCTTTTCGAAACATTTTTCACCATAGCTTGATCCCTCAGAGTGCCCCTAGAAGAACAAACATTGGTTATATCGAGATCAACTTTCTATCACTCTATGCATCAAAGAATCCCTTCCATTTTCATATTCCTGATACATATGGTCCCCGTTAACCCCAAATTTGGATGCTGCTTCTTTGTCGTAAATTTTTCGGAAAAATTTTTATGAAGGCAACCTGAGTTACAAAGTTACTTATAGTTGAGTTCCCTGCACACAATGTTCCACCACCAGTCCCATCTCCAGGGTCAACTTCCCTCCCGCAATGTCCAGTTACATCTAGAGAAACATGTTCTGAGAAGGAGCAGACATAGGTCATAAGTTCTTAGAAGGAGCAGACAGAGTTTCTAGTATTCTAACACCTGAGATCTTTAATCCGTTTGAGTCTTAGTGAAACCTAAGACTTCTTAGTTCACAAAGCAAGACAACAGAGATTTGGCTGCTGTCTAGCGCTCACAATCTGTGAATGGCTGGGCTAAGAACAAAGGGCAGACCCGGCTCTCTGCAATGCGCATTCTTCCGGAAACCTCTCTGCCTTATGGAAAAGCTCACATAAACCCTCTCACCTCCTGCCACCTCCTTTTCTCAGGAAGTCCTTGGGAAGGAAGCAACTTCATGTTTCCAGAGTAATTCTTAAGATGTGCTTTCTTGAAAACCAGTGGGCTATCCTTGCTCATTTCGTAGAAGCACACGTATGATGCTTGGAAAACTGTCAACTTGCCTGCATAATGTTTCCGAATTCAAGGACTTCCGAAGACAGTCTCCTGTCACCCTAACTACAAAGCTGGTGACACAGTCACTTGCCCTTCCAAGGTTTTCAAAGGGCTGGGGGCCCTAGCTCTGCTATAATCTGCATAGCTGAGAGAACTGCGACCCATCATTCAGGAGGATGTGTGAGCGGCAGAGCCTAACAGTTTCTACCTAAGAGCCCTACTCACCGTGGAACCGAATACTATTTCAGGGCCTTCTGGGGTGTCGCCAGTAGCCAACTGCACGAAGAGTTTCCTGTCATGATCGATCTTTTTAGAAAAGCAGTGTACCTGATGAAGGAAGAAAGAGCGCATCAGTCAGGAGCACTCAGTGTGAGACCCTGCTCCAGTGGACATTTGTCAAACTTTTTCTGGAACCCGTGAGTGCCCTGACCAGGCTCTGACCATAGGCCACTTACTCAACACTTGACCTTAGCCAAAAGGCCGAGAAGCTATCGATAGGCCACTTACTCAAAATTGACTCCTGAGACTAAGCTTTTTAAACAGCCTCAACATACAATCATATAATTTCAATTTTTTTTCTCTTACTTTCCTTTTTTTTTTTTTTGCTTTATATGTGAAGTGGGCTGGAGAAATAGCACAGCGGGTAAGGCATTTGCCTTGCACGCATCCAACCCGGGTTCAATTCCCCTGTCCCTCTCGGAGAGCCCGGCAAGCTACCGAGAGTATCCCGCCCACATGACAGAGCCTGGCAAGCTCCCCATTGGCATATTTGGTATGCCAAAAAAACAGTAACAACAAGTCTCACAATGAAGATGTTCCTGGTGCACGCTTGAGCAAATAGATGAACAATAGGACGACAGTGCTACAGTGCTATATGTGAAGTAGCAAAAAAATATCTGATGCACTTGTTCCTGAGTTATCAGAGGGTACAAGAAAGGCTGCTGTGAGATAGAGGAAGCAGATAGACCTACGCAAAACCAAATGAAAAACATTGTTAGGAAGCAGTAACTGCCACACGGGGAACCAAGGCAAGTTAAGGGGCTATTACAGATGAGAATTTCAGGAGAAGATGCTCTGCGGAAGCGAGAGTTCAGGAGATGGAAGGGTCTGCAGGAAAGCCTCAGGGGTAGAGCACATGGCTACAACTAGGAGGAACACACGAGTAGGTAGAGCTGCAGAAGCATTGGAGCTCAACAGGAACCCCTGAGAATGGAAAAAGCAGTTACAGTAAGATGATGAGATCTTTGCTTTAGAAAGATGACCCTAGGGACAGAGTGACAGTACAGCAGGTAGGACCCTTGCCTCGCACACAGCCGGCCCAGTTCCTGGTCCCTCAAGCCCCTACCTGGAGTAACCCCTAAGCACAGAGCCTGAAGTAAGCCCACAGATGTAAGCTGTGGCCCCCAAACACACACACACACACACACACACACACACGTGATATCTAGCTCCCAAGTAGAGAAGTAACTACACAGACCATAGAGAAAAGGGAAAGTCCTCTTTAAAGGAACCAGCATTGTGAATACTCCGTGGCAAACAACATAGCTTCGCAAGCACAAGAAAGAAATTTTTGAGTAAGAGAAGACAGGAAAACCATAATCCTAGGTCGACGCAAAACTGGGTTAACCTAGCAGCATTAAGTACTTACCAGAGACCAGGATCAGGGCTAGCACATACCACATCTGCCCATTGTATTTTGAAAATGTAAAAATACACATTCACTGTTTTGATTTTTTATTTTAAAATTTGATTCCACTGTTAGTGAAATCTTGAAGTATCACTTCAACCCTTTGAATACCAGAATGATTTGAAAATCATATTATATTACAATATCTTCGCAACTCTTTTACTTTTCATCATCATATTTTTCACCTTCAATCTCAAGAACTTAGAAAAAAAGCATCTATTAAAGTCTTTTGGTATCTGCTATTTTTTTACACAACTCTCTCTCTGTCTCTCGTCTCTCTCCCTCTCTCTCCCTCTCTCTCTCTCTCTCTCTCTCTCTCTCTCTCTCTCTCTCTCTCTATCTCTCTCCATGCCCAGAGATGCTCACGGGTCTGGCTCTGCACTCAGGAATTACTCCTATGCTGCTTGGGGGACCATATGGGATGCCGGGATCGAACCCAAGTTGGCCACGTGCAAGGCAAGCACCCTACCCACGGTGCTACTGCTGCAGCCTACAAAGCACAATTGTCTCCAAATTATTCATGCATAAAAATGAGGCCCCAAACTGTCTCTTTTATGTTTCACACTCATCAACTGCAGAAATGTCAGAGCAGTACCCATCAATTTCCTTTCTGCATGTCACTCTTCTTTCACTTTCTGAAAATTCTATTATTTTCTGTAAAAACTCATCCATTATCCTCCATTCCCACGTTCAATCAAGTTCCTAGATCAACTAAATATACCACCTGAAGTGTTCTCTTGTGCTGTGAACTGGGCCTCCCACCACCCTTAGCTGATTATAAACCTCTAATTAGTTTATAAACTTGATGGATCCTCAGCCCTTAAAAAGGTCCCTATGGGCAATGTTCCGCATGCATTTTGAAGGCTTCAACAACCCCCTGAAGAGATTCCAGGCGCGGAATCTTGTTCCAGTTAGACTCCTGGCCACTTTAAACATAACTAGCAAGCTCCAGCTATAATCATCTCTTTGAGACTCAAATCTGGGGTCCCGGAGCAATAGTACAGTGGGTAAGGTGCTTGCCTTCCACGTGGCTGACCCGGGTTCAAGCCCTCAAGCACCGCCAGCAGTGATTCCTGAGTGCAGAGCCAGGAGTAACCCGAGTATCGCTGGGTATGGTCTAAAAACCAAAGAATTCATTAAATAAAACTTAAATCTGGAGTGCTGGAGCCAGAGTATAGCAGGGAGGGCGCTTGCCTTGCATGTGGTGGAATTGGATTCAATCCTCAGTACCCAATTTGATCCCCTGAGCCTTGACAGGAGTAATAGCTAAGCATGGGCCAGGAATAAGCAGCACCCCTGGGTATGGCCCACAAAACAAATAAAAACCCCTCAAATCTGGGACCCAGGAGATGGCTGGAGGTGCTGGGTACATATTGGCATGTGGAAAGAGGTCTGGGTTCAATTCCAGCATGTTCCCCTGAGCACTGGCAGGAGCTGCCCCCCAAAATAACAAAAAAAAATAAGTAATAAAATGCAAACCTGGGACCGGAGATACAGCACAGCATGTAAGATGCTTGCCTTGCATGCAGCAGGCCCAAGTTTAATTCCTGGCACCCCACTTTAGGGTGCCCCCAAGTCCCATCATGAGTGATCCTTGAGTGCAGAGTCGGGAGTACATCCTGAACACAACTGGGTGTAGCCCCCAACCCAAAATAAATAAATATTCTAACGTCCTGGGTATCGGCTATTAGGAAAAACTGAAAATGACAAATAATAAATAAAAATTCAAATCTGATTCCATTGGCCTACTTAAAATCTCTACGGGGCTCCCCAGAATTCCAGACAAGTTAAAACCCTTCCCCCAGAACGGGCAAAGTCCTGCACCCCTCTCTCCCTCTCTGGTCTCACCCTCCACCAGTTTCCTCACTCTGCACTGATCTCCCCACAATGTGAAGCCACTACTTGTTCTCAACAACACCAAAGATCCATGTTCCCAGATGTCCCGTCCATGGCATTGCCTCTGCCCGGAATGACTTACCTGGCATCCGCTGGGCTAATTTGACTCGCCTTTCAAGATGATGAGTGGCTTGTTTTGGACCTAAAAGATCTCTTCCTCAAGCCTACACCCCACTCGTGGCATATCTGCTCTTGTCGACTTCTCTCTCACTCTGAACTGGGTGTGTGGGGGGCGTGGGGGGGGGGGGGAAGGAGTTCTGGAGGATAAGACTAACTCAGGATCTCTGCATAGCCAATGCCTGGCACCGGCTGGCATACGTCATGCTTCATGCACTGGAGAACTTTCTAGGGCGAGGACACTGGAATAGCAACTCCCACATACCGAACGCTTACCCCCCCGCGTCACCCGGCCCTAGATACTAGCTATAAATACCTCTAACTCTCTAAGGCATTGGAGAGGCTGCAGCATTACAGCCCCCTGCAAACTTAGGCAGCCCGATCACCTGCCCCAGGCCAGCCGACTCACGCCTGGGAACCGGCGCAGAACTCGGCTCCGGGCTCTTCGCAGATCCTGCGCTGTTCCCCACCTCGCCCTCCCCGCCCGGGCCCGAGTGCCACGTGCAGGTGTGCAGGGCGCCAGCGAGCGGGACAGCCGTTCTGCTTTGCTCTGAAGCGGGGGGACCATTAGGGACCAACCACAAAAGCCAGGGCTCTGGGATGCCCTGGCCCAAGAGCAGAGTCTGGACCCCGCAGAGCCAGGCAGGCAGCCCGGCTGATGCTCGCGCCCGGGTCTCCCCGTGCGACACCTGTCGTTCACCGGAGCTGCGAGTCCGACCCCCAACGAGGGGCACCCGGCAGGTCCCGCTCCCCACCCACCTTCCCACCCCGCCCGGGCCAACTCTACACCGGGGTCCCACGGCCCAGGGCAGGCGGGTCCCCAGAGGAGATCGCGGCTCCCACGGCCCCACCCATCCGCCCCTCCGCTGTCCGAAGACACCCACAATCCCATTCCGGGGGCCACGAGACCCGGACTCCCACCTCACAGTCGCCGGTCCTTCCGTGGGGTAGAGCCCGCGCTCCGGGCTTGGAGCCCCCTCGCGCGGCAGGCAACGCCCCGGCAAGTCACTCCAGGTCTGGATCCAGTGCCACCTTTTCCGGCGCTCCCGGCCTCGCCCGGCGGGCTCCACGCCCCCCCCGACAATGCGCAGGCGCAGCCGGGATCTGGCCCCAAGTTTCCAGACTCCTTGTGGGCGGAGTCTCCGGCCGAAGTGGAAGGGAGGAGCCTATGGCATTCCGGCGCTCCCGGCCTTGCCCTCAGAGGGCTCCACCCATCTCCCCCGCCACGCCCCCCCAGGCCCCGCGACAGTGCACAGGCGCAGCCGGGATCCCGCCCCAGGTTTCCGGACAGCTCGTGGGCGGAGTCTCCGGCAGGAAGTGGAGGGGAGGGGCCTAGACGTCGCGGGCTCCCGAGTGCCGGAAGTCGTGCTGCGCGTCCCTGGAGTGCTGCCTTCCTGTCTTGCTGCTTTCTGCATGGCTGTGCTCTCAGGGTAAAAAGACTCGGGTCTCCTTCGCCTTTCGGAGATGTCTGCGATTCCGGCCGAGGAGAGTGACCAGCTGCTGATCCGACCGCTGTAAGGGCTCAGCCGGAGGGAATAAAACACACGGGCTTTATCCCCTCTGGGCAAAGAGGGGTAGCCGAGTGGTTTTGCCCAGACTCCAGCCTGCCTCCATCCATCCCCTGCCCGGGGCCTGCAGTTTGCTGATGGGCTTGGAGAAGTATTAATCGGAAGGGGCCTGCTAATTGGAGAGCCCCTCCCCCCCCTTTTTTCCTTAGAGGAGAATGTCTTGGAGTTGGGGAGGATAAAGATGTCTTTGCCCTCCCCCCACACACCCCCTTGGCGCCTTCCCATACGCTAAGGAGTGCGAGGTCCTGTGACACCTGGTGATGTTCGCCTAGTCCAGGACCCGCATAAGGCACAAGCAGTGCGGGAAAGAGTCAGACGTGTGTCTGGTGCCTCCAGAAATTGACGTTTGCTAAGAAAGAGGAAATGAATCTGGGACCAGCCCGGAGCTGCGTTCTGAGTACAGACCCTTAACATGATGGGAAAGGCGAAAAGGTGGAAAGGAGAATGAGGAATGGGTGTTAGAGACAAAAACATTGACTTTGATTGCTTGTGAGAAATCTGATCTTTTGCTAGAGAAGCCTCTACAGCTCTGCAGTGCTGCTTAGAATGGGAACTTTTGATATGAGTTATCTAGTAACTGGTCTAATACAGTAAACCATCTTTAAATATTGGTGACTGTCTAGTGGCCAGGCGAATGTGCCCTTTTTATTCGAGGGTAGAGTAGCACCTGGTATATGGATTCAGTTAGGACTCGCTGAGCAGCTCCAGACGCCATAATACTCTTTTCTCACTTATTTTAGCCCACATCTGTGCTCTCTTCCTGTGACCAGCATACACAACAGGCGTGGGCACTGGGGATACAGGAAGACAGGGAAGTTGATTGAACTCACCTTTGTGGAGGGGGTTGCAGGGGTTTGCAGGGCACAGTGAAAAGTCACTGAGGGAGAGTTTGGAGTACAGGGACATCATGAATTCCGCCCTAAAATCCTACGCTGTCCCTCGCTGCACAGCGGTCTCGCTGACCCTGTTCCCTCACATGGAGATGGTGTCTGTGACTTCAATTTTGAGGCCACAGGTACTCAGTAGGTGGCCCCTATTTTAAGAATGGGGAGGCCATGCACAGTGTGTGTACAAGCATGGAAAAGGGAGTCTTGCAGATGGAGAAGAGCTTGTGCTCTCCTGCACTGGAAAGCCCAGGATGTGAGCCAAGTCCTGAGAAGCTATAGGAATGAAAGTCAGGTCAAGGATGCTCTAGGCAGAGGAGGTGATGCATATGAGAACGAGAGTGGAGACACGGTGTGACCAGTCTTCTTGTCCCTCTAACTAAATATGACTCAGAGCTTTAGGGGTTCACTTTCTGAAGGACTCTGGAGTTTATTTCTTTCACCTACCAATTATTGGAAGCCAACAGAGTTTCTTGGGGATTTTTTTTTTTTTGGCTTTTTGGGTCACACCCAGTGATGCTTAGGGGTTACTCCTGGCTCTGCACTCAGGAATTACTCCTGGCAGTGCTTGGGGGACCATCTGGGATGCTGGGAATCGAACCCGAGTTGGTCGTGTGCAAGGCAAACACCCTACCCACTGTGCTGTCACTCCAGCCCCCCAATAGAGTTTTGAATAAGATGGGATGTGGTGATTATCTTTTAGGAGTGTCATAGATCTTTCCAAGCAAAAGTATAATAGGTGAGTAGAAGGGCAGATTAAATGGAGGACGGCAGGTAAAAAGTGATTGGAATGAGTGAAAATGGCAGTAACAGGCTGAAAAAAAAAATGGATTTGAGAGAGGGAAGAAGTGACCTTTTTTTTTTTTTTTAAGTTTGGGGGCCAGGCTGGAGCAATAGCACAGCAGATAGGGTGTTTCCCTTGTACATAGTTGACCGGGGTTCGATTGCTCTGTGCCTCTTGGAGAGCCCAGCAAGCTACTGAGAGTATCTTACCCGCATGGCAAAGCCTGGCAAGCTCCCTGTGACATATTTGATATGCCAAAAACAGTAACAGGTCTCACAATTTGTTGTGACACTACTTGTGCCCTCTCGAGCAAATCGATGAACAACAGGAGGAGGACGGTGCTACAGTGCAGTTTTGGGGCCATACCCTATGGTGCTTGGGGATCCATCTGCAGTACAGGGGATCAAACCAGGGTTGGTCACATGCAAGACAAGCGCCTTAATCTCTGTGCTATCTCTTTGACCCCAGGAAGAGAACTATTTAGAGGTTTGTAACTCATTAGATGTGTCTGAAGGGACAATGTGTTAAACTGTAGAAAGGAGTTTAATTTCAGTAACTCCGATTCTTTGGGTGCTTTTTGAGAGAACTAGAGGAGATAGGACAGATCTGGAGTTAATTTTGGAGTTTTGTTGTCTTATGAAACAGCCTTGTAGTGATACAGTTCACATACAGTTCATTTAAAGTGATAGGATTTTGCATATCTTATGGGGAGGCCAGTTCTTTTGGTTTGGTTTGCTTACTCCTGGCTCTGCGTTTGGGGAATCACTCCAGTTTTCAAGGGGCCATATGGGGTACCGGGAATTGAACCCCGTGTTGACTCCATGCAAAGTAAATGCCCTATCGGCTGTACCACTGCTCTGGCCCCCTGGGGTTTTGGTTTGGGGGCCAAACCTGTCAGGGCTTAGGGAGTTCTGCAGTGCCCAGGAGCAGACTCGGCTCTGGCATGCAAAGCCGCGCTCTGGTCCTTTGAATTATGTTCTGGAGTACAGAGTTGTAAACCATGCCACTAATTCCAGTTTTATTATTCTTGCAGAAAAGGAACCCTGTACCCATTAGCTGTTATACTTTCCTTTGCCCCAAATTCCCAACCATAGAAAACTGTTAACCCATTTTCCGTCATACAGATTTACCTATCCAGGACATTTAAAAAAAGAATTGGGGGGTGGGGGGGAAATCACACCCAGTGATACTCAGGGCTTACTTCTGGTGGTATTCAGGTGGTGCTATGGGATGCCAGGGATCAAACCCGGCTGGGCCATGTGCAAGGCAAACACCCTCTCCGCTATGCTATCGCTCTGACCTCTGTCCTGGACTGTTTGAAGTCAGGACCCTCCATGCGATTTTTCACCAATCTAGTGTACTGTTCAGTGCAAGGGCCTGAAGATGCAGTTTGCTAGACACTGCTGAGCACTGTCCAGGCCAGTCCAGTGGTGTTGGGGTTCCCCAGGGCTGCATCCTGAGATGTATGGTACCAGGAATCAAACTGGGGTAAGCCGCATGCAAGGCATGCGTCTTAACCCCTTTCCAACCTCTGGACACTTTTTATATCAAGTACCATACAATATGAAACCTTTTGTGACTGACTTTCACTTAGCAAGTCTTATCTAAGGCATATTCATAATTTGAGAGTTTTGACTCAGTACGTATTTAGCTACACCGCAATGAACAAATATCACATTGTTCTGCCCTTACGGAATTTTAATTTTAATAGTGAGGAGCCGGCCACAAATGAGGTAGTTAGTGATTTCATGCAGAAAAAAAGTCTTATGTTAGAACATTCTGGAAGGCACATGAAGGAGGCCTCTGAGAAGGTGGTGTCTTTTCCAAGATGACACAAAAAGTCCATCTTATCAGAATCTGAGGGCGGCACGTTCCAGAAAGAAAGCAGAGTTGTACAAAGGACCCAAGTGAGAAATGAGTTGAGCATATTTGACAGCTTTTTAGGGGGTGGGGGTGGGGGGAAGGTTTGGAGTCACATCCGACTGTGCTCAGGGCTTACTCCCGGCTCTGCACTCAGGAATCACTCCTGGTGAGTTGGGGACCATATGTGGTGCTGGGGAATCAAACTGGGGTCGGCCATTTGCTAGGCAAGTGCCTGCCTTCTTTGATGTCCTATCTGCAGCCTCGGATATTTGAACCCAGGGTACCTGTGAGATGTGCCAGGTGATCCATCATTATGCCAGGTGCATGTGAGAGGCCTGGGGTGCACAACTCTCTGGGCTACAGGTACAGTCTTGGAAGTCATTGGCAAGTTGGAAACATGAGAAAAGGTCGCAAAACTGAGAGGAGGTTTGAGGAAAGATTCCTTGGGCCATCGGTGTGTGAAGGGTGAGCAGAGGCAGTGCAGTGCAGGAAACAGGCCAAGAGCATGAAGATGGAGAAGGTGAGAGAGAAGGGTCCCAAGAGGGCAAGAGCACAGTCAGGCGGCCAGTGGATAGCAGGAGAACAGGCACTGACCGCACACAGCCACAGGAAGCAGCTCCACACAGACACGGGTTGGCAGAGAGCAGCAAATTGAGCGGAGGCAGAGCGCGTGTGTGGTTATAGAAGACTAGAATTTAGGGTTGAGACATTTGATTTAGGGGGAGAACGATTGTAGCACATTTCAGTTCTGATGATGAAGTGTAGGAAGCTCGGGAACTGATAACGCAGAGTTGGGAGAAAGTACTGGAAAGTAGAGAACTGGGGGGAAAGTGAACTTGATGCCCAAAGGGTCTGGAGTCATCAGAGAAAAGGGAAGAGACAAGACATGAGTGGGAAGGTAAGTGGCCTTGAGGAAAAGTGGCAAGTGCAGATGAAGGCCGATGCCTTACGTGAAGAAAATGGTTAGCAAAGGTGCCCAGGTTGGGAATGGTTGCTGTGGGAACCAGAAAACGTAGTATCT